ATTCTCCATCTCTCTCTCTCTCTTGGTTCCCTCTCGCGAAATGCGTTCCCATCCGCTCGTTTTGTCTCTCCCTCTCTCTCTCTCTCTCTCTCTCTCACATATTTCTCTATCCTTCTTCCTGGACCGCGGCTACAGCCTCTCATTTCTCGCCACCACCCATCGTCGAGTTCCTCTTTATCTACGGCGGACTTAACGAACCTTGAAAATCACGTCTCGCGAGATGTTTACTAAAGTCTCTTGAGCGCCTAGTATCGCCGTCGTCTCCGCACTGTGCGACCAAATTCCGAAAACGTGATAGGTATAACAATAAGCGCCGCTTGCGCCTCTCTCCGCGAGCAACGTCTTCCGGAGAACACGGTCATTTGCATTTTACGCAGGCTTAAATGTTAATTCACAAAGGAGATCCGCGCCGACCGCGAGAGTTCGATACGAAAGTTTCGAGACGACTTTAGCCGCCTCCTCCGCGTCGAGCAGAACTTCCTCTTCCGCGAAACACGGACGACTAAATTACTAACGAATCAATTAAATCTTGCCCGTCGATCTGTAAACTGCGTCAATCAGCGGTAGCACTTGGGCCGATCTAAATATACAGATTGAATTGAATGGGGTTTACAATTCTCGATGTAGAAGCTAATTCATCGAATTGACGGATAAATAAGAAAATGTATTTTTTTACCAAAAATTTATGTGTATTTTATAGCAAAATCAGTGTTAAATATATTCAAAACCTTTGGACTTTTATCGCTCGGCATAGTTTCATTTCTTTTTCTATTTTTTAGAGTTAAGACGAAATTGAATAATTAGCCATTGAAAAAATAACGCGTCAACACATAAGTTCTATGAAAATTGTTCTACCTTACCAGTTATAGACGATTTAATTTTCTTCGATATTATAAATATCTCTTCAATCTATTATGATAATTACAGTGAAATGTAAAATCAATCTCCTTTGTGTGATTATTAATAGAAATATTACAGAATGCATATATATCTCATAATGATTTGCTGTATTGAATGTAAGCATCTTTAAATATTTAGATGCACAATGACTTGTTATTATTTAGTTATGCAACTTTGTATTTTAACTCTGAGAATAATTTTATGTAAATATACTTGAAATGAAACACACGTATTAAATACTAGAGATATTAAGTATATGATTAAGTTTTAAAGAGATATCCATATATCTCTCTATTTATATAAAATTTAATGATTAAAGAGTCTCAAACTAGTAAAATTAAGATGTATCAATGTGTTGTTTAACAAAAGTCAATATATCGAGATTCTACAGCTCTTGACCATCACAACTTGTAATTATAATTTATAAATTATATTTTTCAACGTATATTAGAAGTCTATAAATATTGGGAATTTTAATTAACACGTTATGCAGTATCGATAACGTGTTCCAATAAGTTTTAAGATTAATATTCATTTATTTATTAAAACTGTTTTAAATCGCTATTTCAAATGGGTCATATAATTGTAATTAGCCTTAAAAATATATTTCGCAACATATTTACGGAAATGAGGTTGAAAAAAAGAATCTTGCCGACAACTAATTCTGTTCGCATGATGAAATCGTATCCCTATCAGAATCCGCGAGATTTATGCTCGCGAACTTAAAAAAAAATCGCGGCCGCATCGATTCGATTTCGCGTGCGGTAACGAATTAACTACTTAATCATGCGAAAGTACGCGGGTCGCGACCGCGGATTAACCTGAATTATAAAGATAGATTCGAGAAAATTATACATTCCTATATACAGCACGCGAGTGCGATACACCGCTTTCCAATCGGAGCGGTTTAAAGATCCCTGCACGGGATGAAATATTAAATCTGGAATACGGGAGCGGCCGATATAGCTCGCGCTCGCGCTCGTAATATCGTCCGATTAATAATGGCCGGCAAACGGCCTCGGCTAGAAATATGAGAAAGCAAGCACGAGTGGCTTCGTACGTCCGTCGTCGGCACGACAATGCATTTAATCTACTTGCAAATTAATGTTACACGCCTGTTGTACGGTTTATTTTGGACTCAAGCCATAGTCTGAGAGAGAGAGAGAGAGTGGCGTATTACTCTGTACATGCATTCTTCTTCTCTAGCATTTTTGCATGCGATTTTTATTTTTCATCTTTCTACAATTTCGCAAACTGCTGAATGAGATGACCTAGTTAATAGTTGTTATATCTCCGACTTATAATTAAATTTCATTACTTGTTTCCTTGCGGTATAATACATCGGAAAGTAACACGAAACGAGAAAAAGTGACCTACATTTGACTTATTCTTTAACGAAAATGATGTAATTCGATTCTCTGCGACCCGCAATTTCATTGGGATTTAAATTTTGTCATAGAGCATTTGACGTGAGAGTAGATATGAATGCTTTTAAAAGGGAATTAATATTCAACATTGCACAGATGCACATAATATATATCCGAGAAACTTGATCGCAATTTTAACACATTCTCGAATAATTGCTCAAGCCAATTTCTCGTTGCAATTAATGTTGAGATTTTTGGATCTCATACAAGCTGTGGATCACGATTCTGTAAAAAAGAGAAAAAGAAAGACACATAAAATATTCTTCATTTATAATAGGTCTAATATTTTTTCATAAAGGAATAATTTCCATGTAATGTAATTCTTCATGATAATAATGAGACAGAGAAAAAAAATGTTGATCTTTTCATATTGGTCTAATTAGAATACCGCGCACATTCACGCACATATGACAGTAATATAATCTGGCATGTTGGACAAGAGCTGATCATGCACAGTCACTTTGCTCTACAAATACACACTTCGATTATCTATCCGAGGAGAGACGATAATTTTCGGTATTATGGCATGTGTAGAGGCGGCTGATGAAGAAGGGGACGGAAATCCCCTTCGGGATAATTTCGGCCGATTAAGTGGAGCGTTGGCCGATCTCTCCTTATTCGTTTCTTTTCGGCTACTGTGCGGAGTTTAACGTAATGGTTAGACCGTGTACGACGACGAGGTCAGATCCCAATCCCGGTCACGAATGAGTCACGATCCGAGTCGTGCAGTCACGAAATTACTGCTCGATTCTACAAGTCTCTCTCTCTCTCTTTCTTTTTTCCCGACAGTTGGATTTTATTGGATATTTTTATATGCATTTATTTATCCATTTTTTGCTTTATTATTTATCTGATGTATTCATCTTATATATTTGTGATTACTCGTTAGATATCTTATTAAATTGAGTTATGAATATATATTCAAATTATTTTTAAATAAAATTTTGTGTAAAATTCCCAATGAAACATAAATCATTTATAAGAAATTGGTTGATATTTTGCTAATGTTGATAATTATTACTTCGAAGTAATACAACATCAATGTCGGAAATGATTGATATAATGTAGATAATGGAAACACAACAATGTAGAAATAAATATATGAATCCATGATTGCAAACAATGATCAATATTAACACACTGGAGATATGTAATGCGACAATGCAAGAAAATTATCGATATTGCATATCGTTGATTTTTGAAACACACAACGGAAATTATTTCAATTAAACGTACAGTTAATTTTGCCAGCATTTATCTAAAAATCATTGATGTCAAATTGATGTTTCGTATGCTAAATCCGATATCACATATACGTATGTGCGAATGAAAAAATTGAAAGCCTCTGGAGAAAAAGTGCACACTTCATAAAATACAAATTTACAGAATATTGTCCATGTTTCGTTATTAATCTCTTGAGCGGATATGTATGATGCATTCTAATTGTCTGTTATGGGCTGATCGTATTTATCATTCCGATATTGATTCGAAACTAGTTTGCTAGATGTTCACGACAAGTACTGCATGCAAAAATCATTGAATTGCAGTCAAAAACACACTTTACGAGTCCGACTATACGTATGTAATAATGATGCAATCGATGTGTTACGGCAAACTGTATTATTTGGATTATATTGCTGTAGAGATCTCCGTGTAAATACATATCTATATTTTTCTTATTCAATTGCAGCATTATTATTTTCATGTTTATTGTGTATATTTTAAATTATATATATTATTATATATTTCTGCTTTATTCCAACATTTATATTTTCTGATTTTAATTCTATTTCATGTCCAAGTTTTAAATATTGCAACAACAGACTAGGGACAATTTTAGAAATTTATCGTATAATATATTTATTAACTTTTATATAACGTAATAAATATTATACATATCTGATAAATTTCTAAAATTGTTTCTAGTTGCTATAATATTTAAAACCCGGAAATGGAATAGATTTAAAATTAGAAAAGATAAATTTTAGAATAAAGCGAGAAGTGATTTTAATAGTCTTAAAAAATCAAATAATTTTAATAAAAAAATAGAATTTCATCGCTCTCTTTTTCTTTCTCTGTTAACATACATAATATCCAAAGTATTTTTAATGCATATCAGGCCAATATTATACATCCTACATATTCGCTTTATTAATATTTGCAGAAGTAAGTGCAGATATTTTTCTAATAAGTATAACATGTGATTCCATGAAATTCGCACAACTGTCAAACGGTATGAGAAAAGTGCTTGGAATCTCGGTCGAGATGCGCTCGTAACGAACGCGCACAATGCGATTAAGTTAATTGCCTCTTTAATTAGACGGCACACAAACTTACGTCTCGGCAGAGCCGGCTTCCTCCTTCCCGCCTTCACCATGCGTTGCACAAATATTTAATTACAGCGTCACACGTGCGGGATTACTTGGATCTCCTTTGCATTCGCAAAACCCGGCTAATAGTTAGTATGAAGCAGAATTTGCGCCAAGTTCCTATGCTCGCTCGATCTCTTCCTATACGCGTACATACGTAATAATAACAAACGTCACATCACGCAACGCTGTGATTGTGATTATATTATAATTTTCAAATTACATGTCGAACAAACATCGATTGATTATAAAATATCGCTAAGATTTTACATTTCAAGATAATTAAAGGGCAATTTATTTACAGGGACTTGCAAAAGACGTATCGGTGGTCCAAGGACAAGGGAAATCGATCGAAATTGGCATAAGACGCCATCCTGTCTCGCGCAAATTACATCTGTCAAGGAAATCATGCGTAATGGACGCATACATACACACGTGCCTGTTATCGATGCGCCAGAGGGTGGAGACAACAGTACGATGGCGCAGGAGAGACAGAGAAAGAGAGAGAGAGAGAGATTCGACGTATCCGTTATTCCGCACGGCTTAATGCACGCTCGAGGACCGGGAGAATGCAGGAACCGGGGTATATACGCGTCCAAAGGCGGTGTGAGACCCGCTTTCCCGCTGACCATTGGGGGTAATTATCGTGGCTCCGGGGAAAGCTCTCTCACGCTCAAATCCCTTCCGGCTAGCCAGCTCTAGCGCGGTGGCTCGCTGGTGCACGTCAACTCTCGACCCCTTTAAAAAGGTCGGCATCGCCGTGCATAACGCCGCGCCGAGGCGGCAATAACCGGTAATTTTTCTGCAGCGAGATCCTTGCAGCGCAGCAGCCAACCGCTGCTCACTCCTTTCCTACCCTCGGCGTCTTCATCCCTTTCGCCGCTCCAGGGGTGCGGGCCGACGAATAGACACAGCTCTCTCCTTTCGGAGACGAACCGCACAAAATAGAGTCAATTGTAAAAGCGGGGTCACTCGGCGACAGCCGATCGATTTTTTTTTTTTTTTTTTTTTTTGTTGCGCAAAGATCTTAGATCAAGAGAACGCGACTCGTTTCTCGCAGATAATACGCATTGCGCGTGCAGTAAAATATTTCATCGGTAATGACAATCCGTGTATAGAGCGTCTCGAGAATTTAAAAAATTATTTTTTTATTTACAGGCTGTTTTACAATTTACTTTTTATATAACAAAATGTATTAACATAATAATATCCTTATTAAGGTATCAAGTTTTTATACACATTGGATCATACATTAGGTTTGAGACTCACGAATTCAAAATTGACATAAACAATAATCAATGTATTGATAATCCTCAAGTATAACAATAGTATATATTTCATTTCAGTCACGCGAAAATGTGGATACCAGCGCTTTCTTGGGATGTTCTTGTGAACTATCTCATCCGTTACACGTATGATACGTTCAGCTCCAGATTATTTTCGAAATATTTGTTATCGATTTGCAGCGTAAACTATTCATTTTGCGCGTTTTATTTTACATTTTAGTATGTATATGAAAAGTTATAATTCCGATAAATCCCTTATACAAATTCGGGATTCAAAATTATGTACATAATAGAAATTCGGGAATTAATATTATGTACATAATAGAAATTCAGAAATTAAAATTATGTACATAATAGAAATTTGATAAATTAAAATTACGCGCGCGCGCGTGCATATTTTACAAATAAATATTACAAGTATTCTAAATATTAGAAATAAGTAAAATTTCTTTTAGAATTTTCTTATAAAGATTCTTCTAACACAGCATATCATAATTATTATCATTTTGAATTGATCTAAAATAAATAAATGTATAGCTGATTCAGAATTTGTATTTAAAACTTTGTCATTTCACTTACTTGATTTATTTTACACATTAGAATGATGACTAAAAAGCAATTTCTTTTATATAATATGCAATCAGTATTAATCCAATCCGCTATCTAATTTCCCAAGAGATTACCATAATATCCAAATTCATATAAGTCAGCTATAGGAATAATAAGTGTACTTTAAAGGATTAATAAATGTAAGTCATTAGTCTGCTTTGCATTTGAAAATAAAGATCGTAATATACATGTTTATTCATTTAAATTCACATTATCATGATTATATATATTCATTTAAATTCATCTTAATATGTCGCGTCTAATCCGGCACAACAGGATCACACGAAGCATAAAATCTAAATTACGCGATGATATAGCGAATCCTGTTCCCAAAGTTTCCGTTCCCGCCCCACAAATTACATCCACGGGGTTTTGTCATAGAGATCGAGCTATCTAATTGTAAGTCTTGCACCTTGACACGAAAACGCTGTTTTTAGGGAGCAGGCAAGCCGTCGTTATTAACGGTAAACAGACGAGACGTTGATAAGATGGAAACTAATTAAATCGTGAAGGATGTTGGCGATGTTTAAAATTCATGTAGCTATTGACCTTAGAGAGGAGTGATTACTAGTGTCAAGAGCAACTATATGGACGAGATATATAAAATACGAGCACGTACGTCGTGATGACTTTGTACAGGCGCATGACTGGGCATAATAAAATCTATATGTATGTATATTATATAAAATTTATATGTATCGGTTGTTAATAATTCCAACAGGTTTTTTCCATCGTGTAATCGCTTCTGAATAATACTACTGTATTTTATACAGTATAAAACACAGTGGTATTCATAAAATATTTGTATACTTAAGCAAATCTACATTGCGTATATAAAACATAAAATATTAGTAATTAACGTTCTATTTAAATACTTGTCTTCTTAAACTGTTTTCATATATTATATTATTATTTAAATATTATCTAATTTTATAAAATAATGATTATTATAATATATTTACAGTGTTTAAATTATTACTAATAAGAAATCAATTCTGTTTGAATAATTTAATTCGATATAATTTTCTATTTTTATAACAAATCTGAAATAAAATTGGTTTTATTTTTATAAATCTAGGAACAGAAATTATATCTTTTTACGTGTATATGGAAGAGTATTTATATAAAAATGTTTAAAACACTGTATTTTATATAAAAAAATATATTATAAAATTTATAAAACACATTATTTTGAGAAATTATACTATAAGATATACATATGTACTCATGTATATATGTATGTACTGTAGCAATTCTTAATATTAATCAAAAAATAAGATTATGCAGTTAGACATGTTTTATATTAATATAATCAATTAATACAATATGCATACAAAATCATACAAAATTATTAAAAATAAAATATATTAAAAATATTTCTTTACATGTTCTATAATAAAAATATATTGCCCGAAATACATTTGAAATATCATTTCAAGTTTGAAACATAATGGCAAAATTAACAGTAGGAGGATAATTAACAATTATTTTATAATTAAAAAATCTTTTTTCTTTCGAAAAATCAATTTCTTAAATTAAAAAAAAACAATACAAGTATTTATCGCGGCAAATATATTAATTTATAATTTTTTTTCTTTTTTTCAGAAAATTATCTCGAATACAACTCGTTTTAAACAATTATAATCTAGATTAATAAGTTAAGAAGACAAGTTATTGAATTACTGCTTAAGATTATAATCGTTTTGATTTCTTAATGACAGCGGTATCTTATGCGGTGAAGAAATGGGAGTCGAATGTACCAATCCCACATTTTCCTTGCCTTTCCAATGAGATCGTTTTTCTTCCTTTTCTTTTAACATGTCTATAGTCTTTTGTTGTTGCTCGATTAATTTGGTCTTGATACGTAATTCCTAAAAAAATCATTATCAGTCATCATTATCATATTAAATCTTTAATTAGGAAAAAAAAGAAAATTAAAATATACAAAAATACAAACAGCACATATCACACATACATTTATTTATAATTACAACAAATTCAATTCAGTATTGTATATTATTGGAAACAAATAAAAACGCAATGTAGATTTGCTTAAGTATAAAAATATTTATTTCTATAAAAAAAATCTCTATATAAAATGTGTAACTGGAAAATATTAAATTGGTATATTATTTACATGATAATCAAAATGTACATCATAATTCATATTTCCTGCCAAACTTAAATGTCATACGTTATTGCATTACTGATTAGGTTCGTGAACGTGCGAATGATATTGTATATACAAGTGTTTTCAATAATTTCATAGCGACATTTTCATTAAAAATATATTATGTAGTAAGCAGATATATACTCGTACATATATCTACAAACATCCATACACACATACACATACATATAGATTTAAGTATATATCTATATGTACATGTATCAAAACTGACATATATTAAAAAAACAGCCAAAATTGTAATAAAAAATGCGAACACAACAGTAAATCTATCCAAACGTACCAAGTGATAAATTTCCGCGTATTTTTTACTAATTTTCCGATGATATATACTTAATAGATACGTACATATATACAGACATGTACATATAAATATCTTTTTATATGCAAAATCAAAATCGACATACAGAAAAAAAACAGAAAAAATTGTAAAAAGAAATGTGACCGCAGTAGACCTATGCAAACGCACCTGTTCCAACTGATAATTTTTGTCTTTTAAGTGAGCAACATGTTTGATCCTTTGCTTAGGATTCTGATGACCGATTACTTCCGCATACTTTTCACTAATTTCCTCATAATCCTTTGTGAGATGATTGTTTAATTCCATAATTTTATTGACTTCCCTATATAGAATACAATACATTGTTATTTTTAGAATTCGTGATCAATGAAAAGGACTTTCGTATTAAATTGTACTCACTCTTCGGCTTTTTCTCGCTGCGCTTTTTCTTCTTGAAGTTGTTGCGTAAGTGCATTTTGCAAAGATCTCCATTTGTTTCGTTTTTGCTCTAATAATAAAGTGGCTTCCTGTAACAAGAAATTTTATTCTTTGACTATTCTATTCTTTTATAAAGTTTATTTCAACATAATGACGAATTTTTTAGCTGTTTTCAAAAAAGATAATTACCTCTGCATCTTTTTCTTTTGCTCGGAACCACTCCACTTTTTGAGAAAGCTCTTCTATCCGACCGTTTGCCTGTAAATATTTTGAATATATAATTTTTAATAAATAATAAATATGATTATATTTAAGCTATGATTCTCTCATCGTTTTAACAATATACTCGAACTTACAGTGTCTACAATATTTTTATATTGTGCTGCTTGATCTTTAAGTAATTGATTATTTTTCTCTAATTCTTCCAGGCTCTTTAATTGTTTCGTAAGTTTAACATTTTCCAATTCCAGTCGTGACTTGCTACACTCCAGAGCATCAGTTTCTTCTTCTAATTTGAGTAATTGATTTTGCATGTTATGAAGAATTTTTAATTCTTCATCAAGTTGCTTCTTTAACTACGATAGAATTTGATAATTCAAATATAAATAAAAGCTCTAATAATAATAAATAATAGCCTCTACACTACTTGATAATTCAAATTAAAAACTTTTAGAAACATCTTAACAGTTTTGTTAATTGTACAGAGTATCAATCTCAAAATGAGTTGCAATAATAAGTATACAATTACCTCATTATTTAGTAAAGATTTCTGCTCGCATTCATTCTGAAGTCTTAAAATTTCTTTTGCTGCTTCTTGTTTCAGGTTCTCAATTTTTGTTTCAAAAATAGATTTCATTGATTTAAATTGAGATAAATTATTAGTTTCATATTTATCTATCAGCTCTCTCTGAGTATCTAATCCTTTCATGTGAGTTTGAATTTGCTCATCTACCAATTGACTGTTATTGCGCATCACACTAAGCAGATCTTTATGCTCGCGTATACAATCCTCACTATGTTTCAATTCATCCTGTAGTTTTTCCACATCAGCATTACTCTGCGCCAAACGATTACTAAGCGCGATAATGGATGCTTCATTTTCGGCTATTATTATTTCAAACCTAAATATTTGTATAAGATGTTTAATCAGTTTATAATAATCAAAATATTAAAATGATAGAGATTAGATATTATAAAAATGAAACTGATTAACTGACATCAACCTTCTTTTTCTAGCAACCATTTCAGCCGCTTCTGTTCTGATGTGATCCTTTAAAGCTCTCAATTCTTCCCTTTTGTCCGCCAATTCAGTTTCCGCTCTATCCAGCTCAATTTGTAAACTTTGACTAAAACTTTCCTAAACATCCCAATTTATCATAACTCTATTTGTGAACAACAATTTATTATGTACAATATCATCAATTGTGATGCATAATCACCTGAGTTTCTATGGATAGTCTAAGCTCCTCGAGTGTTGCAGAGAGCTTGGCGATTTCAGCATCTTTTTGCGAAAGTTTATCATCTAATACAACACGTTCCGTTTCTACACGAAGCAAGCATGCTTTGTATCTTTCATTTGTAAGTCGCATCTCATCTTCAACGGTGTTTTGTGTCTCTTTCATCATGGCATTGACCTAAATACAAAAATTCTATTTTAATATTTGTGAAGATGTTACTCCATTATAACAAAAATTATCTCAAACATCACAGAAAACAAAAAGACAACATCTACAGACAAACATTTAGAGACAGATAGTGCACACATAATTTCATAATAATTTATAGAAATTGCAATGTTCAAAATTAAGAGTTCACACAAGTGTTAAAAAACGAGCAATTAATGAGTGATGTTTGGCATTTTACGCACGTGTAATCCGCTTACTTTCGCGTCCCATTTAGCAATAACTTTTTTATTTGTTCTTCGTTTTCGGCACGACATGCTGCTAACTTGTTTCTTTTCTCAGATTCTGCATTTGTAATTGTTTCTTCAGCATGTTTCATTATTCGTTTAATTTCCTCTTCTTTCTTTTTTGTGATAGCTTGTTTTAATTCATCTAATTCTTTATCTTTTATTAATGCAATCTATATAAAGTAATATACATATAATTATATAATAATTATATAATAATTCAAGATAAACAATTATATATTTGTTACAATTAAAATGGAAACTTTTACATACATTTTCTAGTTCTTTCAGATGTTCTTCTTTGGCATTATTTAACAATTGTTGTAGTTGCAATTTCTCTTCATTATGTACATTTTTCACATCATTTAAATTCTTTTTATATTTTTCTACCATAGTAATATGTTTCTCATTTGAGAGTTCCAATTCAGTCTGAGCCTGTTGCAATCGTTGGCTTACCTGAAAATAAATAAGAAAATTAAATAAAAATTATATGATTAAAATAAATGATTTATAGTGTGTGTGTGTGTGTGTGTGTATGTATACATAGAAGATACACACATCTTTATAAAGTCTTTGAAGATCTTTTAATTCTTCTATAAGAAAAGAATTTGTTTCTTCCATTTCATTTGCTTTCACTTTTGCTTCTGATTCACATGTCTTATAATTTTCACTTTCCATTAATAATTTTTTCTTTTCTTTCAGGAAATCATTTTTCAAATGTTGAATTTCTTTCTCGTGTTTGTCAGTGAGATCAGAAATTCGTTTAATGGAATCGTCGGCAAGTTTCTCATATTCGGCTTTAAGTTCATCTAATTCACATTGTAGAGCAGATAACTGAGCCTGAAGTTCCAAAATAACATTCTGCTTTATTTCCAATTTAGATTCAAGATTAGATCGTTCTTGAATCACATCCGTAACACAAACATCGAGTTGACTTTTTTCTTTTTGTAACAATCCAATTTCGGTATCGTAATCGCCTTTCATCTCTTCTAACTTATTTTGTAGTTCTTCAATGCGCGTTTCAAGAGCTTCAATCTATTTAAAAAATGAAATTTTTAATATAGCAGTTTATACATCACGTTTTTAAAATAAAGTAATCTAATTTATACCATTGCTTTCTTCTCTTCTTTCATGGCATACAATTCAGCTTCTAATACTGTTATTTTTCTTGATAGTTCGGCTGCACGATTTCTGAGTTCTGTCTCCATTGCCTTTCGTGTTGAGATCTCTCGTTCTCTTTCTTCAGATACTTCTAATAATTGAAGGCGAAGCAGTTGCACTTCTTCTTGATGTTTATCATCATGATTACTTATTATTTCCTGTTGCATTTTAGCCTGTAAATAAAAAAAATATGATATACTGATATATATATATATATATATATAAAAGATATAAATAACAAATAACTTTTTATTAGAAATTATTATATTAACCATTGCTTCTATATCTTCTGCATGCTGTATTTCTATTTCATTTTGTTTCTTGTGTAGCTTTTCTATCTCGGCTTCTAATTTTCGTACATCTTCTTTCATTTCCTCTATGTGCCTCTCATGTTCCTGTATAGTCTTGTCCTTATTCAAACATTCTACTTGAAGATCCGCAAGTTGCTGGTTAGATTCATATTTCATATTTTGATTTTTCAATGTATGTCCATTTTTTGCCTTATTGTTACAAGCGGGCTGTGTCGACTTCGTGACCAATCGCTTTCGCGGCAATTGAGGCTACATAAAAATATAATTATTTAACTAAATATAATAATTATTAATCACAGTAATATTTCTAAAAAAATTGGCATATATTTTTTTTATTTAAATAATATTCATTTAATTAATATTCTACGTTATTTAATTTAATTAAAAAGGACGGATTTAATCGTATTTTAAAAAAAGAATATATATTTAAAGATTAATTAATAATGTATAGTTTTCTATTTCTACAGTTATTCATCATAATTTCTTTTTATAAGCAAAGCTTTACTTTAGTGCAATTGCAATTCAATCGGCAGCAAAATGTATAAGTCTTACCGCTCGAAAAACAGCAGTCGACGTGACCGTATTACTCTTTCCTGATACATTCGAAACATTGCATTCTGCGCTGCCTGTGCTTCTATTATCTAAAAATCTATCAGATTTTTCGATGACAGACCCTTTTATCTTAGTGTCGAATTTCGGATCATAAGCGCCTGGTGGAGGTGTTTCGCCTGCAAAATCACAACATATACTTTAATGAATCAGAATAACAAAATCTATTCTAAGAAATCATTTTCTTAACTGCAAATATTTATTAACATTATTATCATTTGCCGATATAATTTGGAAATATACGTTTCACTATTAAATTAAGATTTTAAAAGGTCATATGTATATGTACATATATCATTTTTATAATATTTTAATTTTACAATTTCTGATACAAGAAAATTAGATCTCTCAATATCGACGATAATCTCGTCAATAATAGCAAATAAACTTGTGTTAATTATTTTCTGGGTATGTGTAGAGACCCCGAAAAGAAGTTTATTTGCTATTATCCCGTGTAGAAATTTAAATGTGGCAGACTTAGAGGGATAAGTCTTAGAAATAATAACATAATATTGCGCAACTATGCAAGCATCGCAAGGACAAAGAAGAGAAAAGATGCGGTTAAATAGACTTCCTTTTGGCGCGCATGGGGAGACACAGGCGCAAATGGGAAAGACAGCTGTTCTGAATGTGAGGGATATAGCTCTATGGGGTGGAATAACCAGATGTAGAGCCAGCAACGTTCCCACCCCATCGTGTCCATACGTAATAAAACGCGTCTTCTTCTCTTATTGTCTGCCGCGAGTTTTCTTTGCGGGGATCAATATATGAAATTTAAAGGTCCTTAGATCAAGAGAGACACGTAAAGTATAAAAAAAATTATGAATATAAAATATAATATGGCCTCTCTCTCTTATTAATTCAAGCAGTTATCTGCACAATAGAATAAGAAGATTACAAGAAAAATAAAAATATATATAACATATATAAATATAAGTATATATAATTAAAAAAATATATATATATATATGTATAATAAACAAGTAGCAAAAATATCAATCAGAATATCATAATCAGAAAACAAAGATATGTATAATGTATTGTGTAGCTATGGTAAATATATATCAGATACATGCATATAAAAGATTTAAATTAGCTAAAATACTGAATATATTTCTTATAATCGATTTCATTACTTTGCTATGTTTTTCCCATTATAAAAATAAAATTTATAGAAAAAAATTTTGTTTTTTTGTGTGCACGCCTATGTGTGTAATAACAATATATTATAAATTATTCGTAGAATAAATATACAAATATGCATTTATAATAAAAATTATTTGCATTTATATTTATTGTATTGTAAAATATAGTAATTTTTTATTTATATGTAAATTGTATTTTGTATATATAAATAATAAAGAGAAAAATATTACATGCATATAAAATTCAAACTTATGCTATGAATATATTTTAACTGAAAAAAATACAGAATGCACAAAAATAGCTATATATAAGAAAATATAAATGCGTTTTATAAATATAAATATTTTGTAATATAAATATTTCTTTTAATATCTCTTTATATAAAAGTATGTTCAAGTACATTTAAAAAAAATGTTTAATTAAATATACAAAGTAGTATAATTATATATAATAATTGAAATCTTAGTATAAATTGTAATGGAAACAAATTATCTTATTGTTAATAAATGCAAGACGATACATTCTAATCTGTTAAAGTTTCATGTTTCATATGTGATCTGTATAAGTGGAGCTTCTCTTTCTCTCTCTCTTTCTATCTTTCTCTTTCTTTTGCTCTCGGCGTTTTCCCGCCACACAACATATCCATTTAAGACATTATACATTAATATTAACATAATAAAAATATTGTAAATGTGAGTTTCATGTAATTGTCAGTTTATTTTAAGAAAATTTGCACTTAAAAAAATTTGTCTTATCGGATTATTTATATGTAGTCACACAGACGATTAAGCATTTCGTCCAAAAAAATCTCATATCAAAAATTATATGTATATTCTGTCAAATTAGGAACAATTAAATTCCCCATCAATTGGACGTATAAAGATAAACAAAAAAATCAAGTAAACTTAATCAACCAGGCCAACTCGACGCAGCGTAGACTCTCGTTCCTAGTTTCAACAAATAACTTACTTTCAAGTTCGTTGAATCGCTGTACCCTCGCCTTGGAGAAAGACATCGCCTGGCCGCACGTATATATGATTTTTTAACAATCTTGGACAACTCCAACCCTCTGCTTCTTACCGAACGATTGTTTACGTTCGGGACGCGTTGCGAGATGAGAAACAACCGGATCGTCGGCACCGATCAACGGCTCCTCGTCGATGGTCCCTCTGGGTTCCTCTTTCCTTCCCTAGCCTCGCTTCTGCGAGGACGAAGTTGCGGACCGCGCTCGATCACCCCGAACACTGCTCGTTCCGAACACCGATGTCTGAATACGCTTGTCGCATCGGTTACATTCGATTTGAAATGACGGTTAAATTAGTCGACCTAACCGCGACTGCCGCGAGGATTCGTCGCGCAGATGGCACCGCTGTCGCGCGAGCGACCAATCAGCTGTTGCTCGGTTGCCTTGCGCGATCTACACCTCTTTGCACAATGCAAATTGCACCGTTGGCTTGTATTTTTTTTTTAGCTGCACTTTTTGCATATTCTCTCCTCTCGCGAGTTTTTTTTCTCTCTTCTTCTATTCAATTTTCTTCCTACAAATATTGAATTTAAATTCTAAATTGCAGAAAATGCTTGTAAAGTAAAAATGAAGCAAAATATATTTGCTTATTTTCTACGGTTTTTTTTATAATTACGGGCGAAAATAAATAAAATTAATAAAATTAATAAAATTAATAAAATAAATAAATATAAAGATTGTAAGAGAACAAATAAATAATTTGCACTCACACGTCAAATGCCACGTTGTAGTTGGATGAACCAATGAGGTTTCACGATATCATATCATAGTCCACGCGATTATCAATGGCTGACGCTGATCACTCTGAACAGTGTATGTCGCCGGTATAGAGGAGACGTTTTTTGTAAATTTCGCATATCAATCCTCCGTTTACGATGAAGTATAAACTTTATGCAACATTCCTGGTTCTATTCGTCTTAAGCTTAGGCTATGTCACCTGTCAATACAGAACGAAAAACGTGAGAACTTCTTGACATTTTTCATTGACCATTATTTTAGTCAAATGTTCCATGTGTTATCTTATTTTTTCTTTTCCATATAGAATCAAGGTTCCTCCTTAACAGAACGTGTACAACAAATGACGGAAATGACCATGAAGAGATCGGTACTGAAATTCAATGGACCAAAATTTAAACAATATATTAAAGCTACTCCGAGAAATTATTCTATCATTGTTATGTTTACTGCCATGGCACCTCAGAGGCAATGTCAGATTTGCAGGTAGACTGACACGTGTATATACTCGTGAATATATTACAGAAACTATAAATATATTAAATTTTTTGTCATAATTTCAGACATGCCAATGATGAATTTACAATAGTAGCCAATTCATTCCGATATTCTCAGGTGTACTCCAACAAGTTATTCTTTGTCTCTATTGACTTTGACGAAGGATCAGATGTGTTTCAACTGGTAAATAAAACTACATATCTACAAGAATGTAAAAGAATATATTTAACGTACAATATGTTATAGATGAGGCTGAACACTGCGCCAGTGTATATGCATTTTCCACCCAAAGGGAAACCAAAGGCTGCTGATACAATGGACATCCAAAGAGTAGGATTTGCTGCGGAAGCAATAGCAAAATGGATTGGTGAACGTACAGATATTCAGGTAATACTATTACATTTCTTGCAGCATGCTTGTTATGGTTGCATTCATTACATTGAAATAATGTTGATATTTGTTAGAATATTTATTTTACTTTCGTAATAATAATATTTTATTGTTAATTACAGATCAGGGTATTTAGACCACCAAATTACTCTGGCACGGTAGCAGTAGTAATGTTGCTAGTTCTCATAGGAGGTTTCCTATATCTCAGACGTAACAATTTAGATTTCATTTACAATAAAACCATTTGGGGACTTGGTGCTTTGGTAAATATATTTTCTACTATTTTATTATATATAAATTTTGTTACTTTATAAACAAATAATCTTGATACACTTGTGTTTATAGTTTTTCAGTTTAACTATGACATCTGGACAAATGTGGAATCATATTAGAGGCCCACCTTTTATTCACAAGTCACCAAATGGAAATGTAGCTTATATTCATGGATCTTCTCAAGGACAGTTTGTATTGGAAACTTACATTGTTATGGTCATAAGTATCCTTTTTCTATAAATTTTCTCAGAAATTTATTTAAAAGATTGAATTGAGATACAAAAAAATTGAGTTTGCACTTTATATTTAGACCTTAATTGTATGAAAAGATGGAGCAGTAGTGTTAGGAATGATTCTAATGACTGAAGCTGCAGCTCGTAAAGGTGATGTGAAAAAACGCAGAATATTTGCGGTGTTAGGTTTGGGATTAGTCGCAATTTTCTTCAGTCTTCTTTTATCAATATTTAGGAATAAAGCACAAGGCTATCCATATAGGTATGTAAAATATTTTATCTGGATAAAAATAGTTAATATAAATATATATTTTATGTTGGAGCATGATGATATTATTGGAAATATATTGAAAAAATATATCTCAATATCATCATGCTTCATATTTGAATTATTTTAAGAATTCTTATTACATTCGTATCCCAGGGAAGAATAATTTCTGTTTCAGCTTATTGTTCAAATAGACTAGATAGGTGCAGAAAAAAAAAACATTTTCATACATTTTTCATTATGATGTGAAACATTTGGCAATTTGGTATAGAATAATAGGTAATCAAGAAAAGTTTTCATAATTAAAAGGTAAAAGATTATATATTGTTATATTAATGTTGTATCAATATCTTAATTATATTGTATATTGTGTAAAAAACCATATTTAAGACTATTGTTCTTCAATGAGATAAACACCACTATATGCAAATATGTATTTAATAACTATGCTATAAAATAATAATAATAAAACCTTATTGAAGTTTTTTATTCAATGTGCATATTATTCATTCACAATAGTAATAAATAAATAAATAAATTATATATATATATATATATATATATATATATATATATGGATGTGTGCGTGTACCAGTTATTGACTGATCTATTGTTCTAAAAAAATAATAGGTATATAATATGATATCTGGATTCTTTCACAATATTTCTTACCAGATATAAGGAATTAAAATATTTCTTTCTTTTGGATAATTTTTGAAAGTTTTATGATACCATTCATGAGACAAAACTGCACATACCAACTAAAAAGAAATTAATTGTATTAGTTTTTAACTAAAAAAAATGTAGAGCTATATTTTTGATACCTGGTTTGTTATGACCCAAATAGTGATGTAATGAAATGTAGAAGCTTGCCAAAGTATCACAGACAACATTATGTATATAATTATTTCTGTAAATTGTAATGGATTTGTTATATACTTAAATAATCCATCAAATGGTATCTTATGTTCTTTTGTTACGATTTCGCCATCTTCATTCTTACGTAATCCCGCTAGAATAAAATTGCTTTGAAGTTGAATGGTTGATGACCATAAACATATAAGTGTACAGATTATGTCTGTAATTGTTAATTTATACAAGAGTAAACTTGTATGTGAATCTGTAATAAAAAGCAATATATATAAATTGTGACAAAAGTATAATATATTTGCAAATTTTTGAAGATATACCTCTAATAAATCCTTTAGATTCACCTACAATACACAAAAATATTCCTGTGTAATGTATAAAACCAATAAAATAAACGCCTAAACTCATTTTCTGATCACCAAATATATTGACAAAACATGTCTCATAAGCTCTTTTCCAACATTGTATATTTAATATAACAATGGCTAGAATTACATTTTCTGCTGGTACTGAAAAAATAATCAACTATAGTTATACATTTATACACATACAAATTTCTTTATAATTAATAACATAATCAGATAAAAAGGAGATTATATACTTAAAGGTTTTCTCGATGTTCCTAATGATATATCCAATAATGCAAATACAATTTCAGGTATATTCCCATCAAACAAAAATTTGTAACAAATCAAGCAAAGTGTAACAGTCGATACAGGTCCAGAAAAAATATAAAAATGTTTAAACCATCTAAATTAAAATTTTAAAAGATTAAAAGTATTTAATATTTACTTGAAAAGCATATATATATTAACTTATTCTCTAATATATTCTCAAAAAAATTTTTAACAATATAATTTATTATTAAATATTATATAATAAATTGTAGTAAGTAATTATCTAACTTATCTTTATATTTTAATTTTTAACTTACCTTTTGGGCACATATAAATATGCTAATACAGTGTCATCCTTCGTTGTGGTAACATAATACTTGCTATAAAGAACATCTGACATCACTGAAGGTAAATAAATATTTATATACTTATATAATAATCTGTGTAAAACTATAATCGATGCAGATGCAATGAAAACGTAGCGTATAATGTTTATATCCATGCTGTCCATTTCGTTGTTTATATTCTCCTTAACATTAGTGAACTGATCTGGTAACTGTGAGTTGTAACTTCTCCTTAGAAAGTCTTTGTGATACTTAAGCCAATGTTCCACTTTTCGTATAATGCAGAAGATTGCAACACTGTAATACAATATGGCAAATAATATATTTCAACAATTTATTTTTGATTTTGACTAATTTATGTAAATATCTAGTATAATGTATATATTAATTAGCGACCATCGCGGAATTTTTTGGAACTTTACTTAAATAGCTCATCAACTCGTACTTTCTATTTTGTATGAATAATGTAAGAATAAAAAAAACATAAGATTTTTATATAATTAAGTACATGCTATGTTATAAAAAATCAGAAATTTTTTATATTCTTTTTCTTCCCGCATTTTTATGATAAATTATTTTTCTCCCTATATAAGAGAGATTAATAATATATATATTAATAAGTTTTTTCACAAATTATAGATAGATAAATAAATAATTGTAAATCATGGGAAATCAATTTTACAAGATTTATTTTTACTGAAAATATGACACTTAATATATACATGTATACTGATATAGGATATAATAAAATAGGAATTAAGTTACATATACATTTACAAATACAGGATAATAAAATAGGAACTTTCAGCATATATCAGCAATTTATACTATCAAGCAAACAAACTACTTTCGACATTTATTGTAAAAAAAAAAAAAAAAAAAATTATTGCTTCTAATATCATAATTTAATATAACTGCACAACAAATAGAGAAGTTTAAATATATATATATATATATATATATATTTATATATATTTAAACTTCTATATATATATATATATATATATATATATATTTAAACTTCTCTATTTGTTGTGCAGTTATATTAAATTATGATAGAAGCAATTTTTTATATATATATATGTATGTATTTAATAAAATCAAATATAAAAAGATAAAGCAAAAGAAAAACTTTATTATATTCATGGACGGATACAGTTCCAGTAAGTAAAAAAAATCGTGTGCATTTTTAACTTATTATAGTATGTTTAGTAAGATTGCACCAATTTTACAAAAATAAATAAGAATTTAAAAAAGTTGAGAAAAAACAATTATTTTCTGTAAACATTAAATATTTGTAATAATTAATCTTTCAATAATTGTTAATCTTTGACGATTTTCCGATTTTTACAAAAATGTCAAATATGTTATAAAATTCGATGCAAAACTTACGAAATATATACATGTAAATTCTACTTGTCTATATATAAATTATATATTTGTAAATAAAGTTATTCTTTCTTTTAAAATATATAATAGCCACATATATATACATATATGTGTGTGTGTGCGCGCGCGTGTGTGCGTGTGTGTGCGTGCGTGTGTGTGTGTGTGTATCACAATTTAAACTAATAAAATAGAATAGAAAGACGTATATTTAAAAATACGTGCTGATATTAGATATCTTTAATTGTGTGCGCGGACTTCTATTCTAAAAATTAGACTATCCTGTTGCAGAAAATTGGATATCTCGCATACGTGTACAAATTCGGTATATCCAAAGCTGCGTTTGTTCAATTCGCACGTAGGTTTTCGAAACGCTTCGAGATCTGGTCTCGATGACGTTATTTCGCGTATATTTTTTTCCGAATCTTGCGGATGTACTAATACAAAATACATTGTGCCATTAAATGGCCAGTCTAAAGCGTCATCATTCTCTGATTTCATGATATGCAAAAGCAAAGACAGATAATTTGAATCTTTAGAGGATATATTAATTCTGGCGCAAATCTTATATCCATTCGGACTCGTATAAAAACCTGGACTATAGAACATTTTTAAAGGATCGTTGATCATAGCCGTAAGTTTCTCTTGGAAGGATTTTAGCCTCCATATGTAAACTCCATTACAATTTCGTAGACACATAGTTGCAAGCTGATTTTTCTGATTAGACACCGTTATAGAAAGCTCTCGATTTTCTTGTTCCAAAACTACTATCCTTTCATACAGATTTCTAGAAATCAAGTTCATAATTTTTATATATATTTTAATATAATATTAAAAATATATATCTAATTATATTTAGAATACTTGAGCAACTGTTGCCAATCAGGAGAAGGTTCTTCTCTGTCTGTAATCTGTGTCCCATTCTTTGGAGGTGGATCCCATAATTTTGATTCCGCAGACATTGCATTATTGGTACTTTGTACTACTAAACAATTGTAAGAATATATTAAGAGATGATTAAAGCAGTTTATATCTTTGACTTTATATAAAATATACCTTGAGATTCTGAAAGATTTCTTCTATAAGTGCACTGATTGATATGTGTTTCCATATCCACAGGAGACAGTTCTACTTGGCAACCAAATTGCCGATAAGGACAAGTTGTACGTTTCTGAGATATCTCTCTACTAGTATAAAGATCTCTAAAGAGATCACTTCCAGATTTTAAGGGTCGACTATCGACTGGACAACAAGCACCCTCTTTCCTGATAATTAGCAATAAGCAATCAACTTGCATATAATAATTAAGTTTTGGTTAAATAAAATGCAACTTACTCAAGCCAAGTATAAATGCACTGTGAACAGAATTTATGTCCACAGGTTGTTAAAACTGGGTCGCGTAACCATGTTAGACAAATAGGACACTCGAATCTAGGCTCTACATAGCCTTTGATGCTCTCATCACACTGTGTGTAACGAAATTGTAAGTGGTAATTGTAAGTTTACAAATGAATGACATATTAGTATAGAATTTTAAAGCAAGTGCAGGCATGTTATTGTAAAAGTTAGCTTTGTTTGTGATAATCGAAAATTAATTTTTAATGTGACACACAATCACAGAAGATCAGAAAAAGGAGCCCTTAGATAAAAAGAAAGTCTTAGTTTCTACAAATTACAAGAGAAAAATACATACGGTTATACTTTCCTCAGCAATCTTAGCAGATATATTTGTGGTATTTGGTGTTTCCATAATCTGCAATAAAATGGTTAAATTTTAGATATTATTACTACATCAATATATAACTACAATATAATAAATTATTCTTATTTTCTTACCTAGACAATATTTTCTCATAGAAGCGATAATTGTAAAAATAATTTGATAGATTCTGACAATGAGACTTGTCACTTTATGTATATATACGTTTATATAGAATTCTATATATTATCTAAAAAAACATTTATTGTCTCACTGATCTCTTTTATAGTATGTAAAAATTTTCGGTAATTTAAATTTCTTCCTTTATTTGCAAAAAATGTAATGATTTTCACTATAATGTACTGAATAACGAAGTGTGAGTCACAACTAAAGTGTTAGAAAAGTATACTCTGTCTTTAACCTCAATATTATGACAGATAATGCCATCTACTGTAAATTGGTCAAAATAAATACAAATAAATGTTGCAATTTTCATATGGTATATCCAGAGAGAAAGATGAGAGCGGCCAGGCCGGCGTTTTGGCTGTTACCGTTTTTACGGGACTGCTTGAAGCGCCCCTCGCACCCGTTTTTAATATCGGAACTAACTGCACACCCATTTTCTGGCAGGGTCGATAAAGTTTGTATTTGGTGCGAGTCCGTGCTACGCCCATAATTTTCGTGTTAACACAGTATCACGTATTCATTCTGTATATGTGCGATCTTTTCTCTTTATATATATATATATATATATATATATGTATTTATATAATTTGTATAAAAACTAAAATATAATTATTAAAATATATATATATATGTATATGTGTAATGAAATATATAAATCTTATTTTAATTAAAATAAAAAGAACGATTAATTGTTCGACCACCTGGATTTTGGAATGTAATTTTTAATATATATTATATTATATTTAATATTTATCGCCGCTTCTATTAATATGAAGTGCAATGTCAACGTGCAATAATGTACAATTATTTAAAGTTTCCATGCCTAATGTATCATGCCGGTATAAAAGAACGTCAAGTAGCATGCGTAGCCGAGCAACTAAGATGACGAGCTGAAATCGTGGACATTTCAAGTTCAAACCCCTACCTTTTTCAGCTTTTTTTTCACTTTTTTCAAATAAGTTATTATGTGTATAAATGTGTAATAATCAATATATCATTATTTGATAATTTTTTTTGTAATGGAACAAAATAAATTATTTTTTAATTCTGCAAGGAATTTAATTATTAATGCAAACGCCCACACACATAATTTAGATATTCAATTTTTTTTAGTTCAAATGTTTCTTGCAATCTGTATACGACAATCAGTCCACTCGCTGTGCCACAGATTGCATCGCATAATACGCTCAGAGTTATAATACGATAGAGATCGCTTTTTTTCGCTGTTTTTCCTTGAAATAAATAAATTTTACGTGTTGTGTACGCGTGTTTAGTATATTTGTTTCTTTCATATTAATTTTAACTATAATTAGTTTTTTAATTAAGATTATTTTAGTGTTAGTTGTTTATTTGTTAGTGTCCTGTTTTCTTTAATTTCGCATTTTTTAATTTTCTTTTTTTTTTGGTGTTGGTGCTAATTATTATTTTTATTTTACAATGTCGAGTAAACACCGGTTTTACGATAAATGTGTGTATTTAAATTGCACAAATATTAGGACAAAAGATGGAAAACGTTTATTTCGATTTCCATTACAAACGGGTGCGAGACATGATTTATGGTTACGCAATAGTGGTGAGTTTATAAAATTGATTTACTTATTTATATCAATATATAATATATATTGATATGATATATGAAACAATATATATATATATATTCTTTGTTTTTTTTAATAAAATATGTCAGATATTATGTATGTTTACGTATGGATTACGTTGAAGTGTTTCTTTGCCGCGTTTTTCTGATCTCGCCGACGGTTCGCGAATCCTGTGCGAATAAAAAACGATGCGCGTGTGTGTGTGCGTGCGATTGTGATGATCAGTTTCAGTTCGTCTTCAACGCTTCAAAAATAATATAAAATCGTTCTAATGTGTTATACAAAAATATGTTTTTATAAACTTACAGCAGTTCGGGACCTCTTCTCTCGTCAAGCGTCAAAAACTAATTATAGTTAAAATTAATATGAAAGAAACAAATATACTAAACACGCGTACACAACACGTAAAATTTATTTATTTCAAGGAAAAACAGCGTAAAGCGATCTCTATCGTATTATAACTCTGAGCGTATTATGCGATGCAATCTGTGGCACAGCGAGTGGACTGATTGTCGTATACAGATTGCAAGAAACATTTGAACTAAAAAAAATTGAATATCTAAATTATGTGTGTGGGCGTTTGCATTAATAATTAAATTCCTTGCAGAATTAAAAAATAATTTATTTTGTTCTATTACAAAAAAAATTATCAAATAATGATATATTGATTATTACACATTTATACACATAATAACTTATTTGAAAAAAGTGAAAAAAAATCTGAAAAAGGCAGGGGTTTGAACTTGAAATGTCCACGATTTCAGCTCGTCATCTTAGTTGCTCGGCTACGCATGCTACTTGACGTTCTTTTATACCGGCATGATACATTAGGCATGGAAACTTTAAATAATTGTACATTATTGCACGTTGACATTGCACTTCATATTAATAGAAGCGGCGATAAATATTAAATATAATATAATATATATTAAAAATTACATTCCAACATCCAGGTGGTCGAACAATTAATCGTTCTTTTTATTTTAATTAAAATAAGATTTATATATTTCATTACACATATACATATATATATATATTTTAATAATTATATTTTAGTTTTTATACAAATTATATAAATACATATATATATATATATATATATATATATAAATAAAGAGAAAAGATCGCACATATACAGAATGAATACGTGATACTGTGTTAACACGAAAATTATGGGCGTAGCACGGACTCGCACCAAATACAAACTTTATCGACCCTGCCAGAAAATGGGTGTGCAGTTAGTTCCGATATTAAAAACGGGTGCGAGGGGCGCTTCAAGCAGTCCCGTAAAAACGGTAACAGCCAAAACGCCGGCCTGGCCGCTCTCATCTTTCTCTCTGGTATATCTTTGCAATACCAGAAGTTTTATTATATACTCTTGTGATGACAGAAGTTAATATTTGATATATTGATCAATTATTCCTCCTTTCATCTATACACATAATGAATATAATACATACATATAAGAGACGATTATTTATTTACTTTTATTTTAAAAATAAAAGAATAAATACATTTATGCAAAAAATCTATTTAAAAATCGATAGATCTTTTGCATTACGCGTGAAATATATATAATATATGTATATTAGTATAACATCAATCTAAATTAATTTATGTTGAGAGACATTAAAGTTGAGAATAATGAGCTACCAGATGTAAGGAATTAAAATTTTCCTTTCCTTTGGAAAATTTTTGAAAGTATTTCGATACCATTGATCAGACAAAATTGCACATTCGGTCTGTGAAAAGATAGAAATTTATACACTTAAAATCTTTTATTTAAAATTATTAAATTAATTAATTTGATTAAATAATAATTAAAATATTAAAAAAAGATTATAGAAAAAGATATAGAACTATTTCTCACGTACCTGATTTATTATAACAAAAAGAGTAGCATAATGGAATACACAAGTTTGCCAGAGGATCCCAGACAACATTATATAAATAATTATTTCTGTAAGTTGCAATGGATTTGATATATATTTAAATAATCCACCAAATGGTACTTTGTGCTCTTTCGTTACGACGTCACCATGTTGATTTTTACGTAATTTTGCAAGAATAAAATTACATTCAAGTTGTACATATGTTGACCACAAAAATATAATTGCACACATCAGTTGTACAGTTGTTAATTTAGGTGAAGACAAGTCTACGTGCGAGCCTAGAAAGAAAAAGATTGGAGATTATTAATATAATTACACAAAAAGATATATCTAATATAATTATACATTTTCAAGAATGTACCTTTAACAAATCCTTCAGATTCCCCAATTAAACATAGTAATACTGTCGTATAATGTAAGAATGTAATTATATAATGGAGTATATTTATTTTTTGATCACTAAATATACATACATAATACATCTCATATATTCTTTTCCAGATATGTATAGAAAACACACCAATAGCCAGAATAGCAGTTTCCACTGATACTAAAATGATAATTACATATACATATATATACATGTATACATATATATTTGTTGTAAATTCATTAATAATTTCCATATAATTTCAAATGCATACCTAAGGCTTTTCTCGATGTTCCTAATAATGTATCCAATAGTGAAAGCACAATTTCGGGAGCATTTTCATTATAAAAATATTTATTTAACGCTAAGCAAAATAAAAATATCAACATTGGCCCACAGATAATATAATAATGTCCAAAGTATCTAGGAAATTCAAAATAATTAAACTTATAAATTGCCAAAGCATAAAATAGAGAAAGCGCCTTTAATATTATATTTACAATAAATCATCTTTTTGCAAAAAACATATTTTAATTTTTTAATTTATCACATAAATAATAATTAGGACCAATCAAGAGAATTAAAGCGCAGGTTGTCGATATGTAACTCATCAAATATTGTCAAAAATTTAATTTAAAAATAACTTAATATAAATTGTGCGTGCAGCACACTTTATCTCTCAAATAAGATTGAGAGAGAAAGAGAAAAAAAGATTTTAGAATTAAAAAAATATGTTACGCACACAATTAAATTTCAAGAAACATTCAAAAAACATTATGCATCATTAATTTGCACTCTGATTCTTATTGGTCTTATCGATTTCTAATTATTATATAAATTGTATTATAAAGAGCTTTAATTAATTTTTTTATTAATTAACTTTTTCATTTTTTAACTTACCTTTTAGGCATTTCAATTTTTCTTAATTTAATACAGTGAACTTTTGAGCTAAATTTCCCATAACGATAAGCGGAAGATATGATAATAGGTAAATAGGATTCCATACAATTAATTAATAAGCCTGTCAATCCGATACAAACTGATTCGAAAATAAGAACATAGTATACTATGTTTATATCCATTATTCGATTTATTAAGCTGAACACGTTAATATGCAAATGTGTATATGTGTGTATGATGATCCTGTAAACAGATAGAAATTCAATATAAAAGATTTCGATATATATTATTGTAAGTATCATTGTCATAATTATTATAAATGTCATATGATAAGTTTTCATATCTGCAATGATATACATATATAGGTATCTGTTATATGTTTAATATATGTACAGATATGTAAATCATTTTTACCAATTTCAATTTTAATATTTAAATTTAAACATAAAATAATTTTTTTATATTCTTAATTTATCTAATGTGTGCAATTTGAAAAAATTTTTATACAAATAAAATATAAAATTTAAATATTGTTTTCTGAAAGTTAAAGCATACAGATAATTGGTAGAAAATATTTCCTTTTTTGTTCATCGCAATTTATTCTTGTCCTTAAAAATAAGCAAATAGAAACTGTGAGATAGTAATAACAGTATTATGCCAGGCCAGCAAGCATATCATGATCATAACAAGCATTCCTCGATTTTATTACGAAACTAACAATGCTATAGTAGTCAACTTTCTATTAGCCTCGTCGTACAAACGCGGATTACGCGTAACTCATCGATTCAGCAAACATTGTAAACCAACATCTTGATTAAGTTAAATGTCACAATAACAACCAATTATTAATATCTCGTCGAATTATTAATATCTCATTAATTTACATCGGTTAGAGGAGAGGCAACGTAACCAATGTTAATTAATAACAATATTCTAAGAAATGTGCTATAAACGTGTTCTCTCCTTCCGTATTCTTCTTGTGATTAACTGTTTTATAATTACAGTTTTATAACATAAGAGTCTTCAAGTTATTTCTTTCTAAGCAATATGCTTAGAATCTTTTACAACAAAAATAATTTTTCTTATATGACATTTACAGAATTTGATTTATAATTTTCAAACTAAAAATTTTATTTTTAATTAGTCGAAAAGAAATCAAAGTTTAATATACAGAAATAGTCAAAGTTACTTTCGCTGTTTAATCCCTCATGAATTTACCGAAAAAGTGGGGCTGTTGAAGTAGGTAAAATCGAGCGTCTCGCTGCTACGAACTTGAGGCATTTAAATCACGTATGTAGTTCAACATCTTCTCGTTTCTCCTCAATCCTAATGATGGGGATCATCGTGGAAAGGAGGATAGCGTGCATATATAATATCGCGTAACATCTTCGCCATACCGTGCATGACATCGTCAGCGGAAGCGCGACCGACACGCGAAGATGCAAGAGGACATTAGGTGTTCGTCGCTAAAAGAGACGCGCATTTGGATCAGTGTCGTACTGTCTCTTTCTCATCCGCGTTTGAACAAGAAATATTACGTTAGGTATATAAGACCTCATATTTATCAACGATCAAATATCCTAGAGTCGTTTTTCGCGGTTGACCGTGATACCGATTTTACGAGTCAGCGATCGTAATTGAACGAGCGTAGCACGTGTGAAAGCTGCGAATTAAATGGATGTGGTCGAATGGTCAAGTTCGAGTGGATTTGAGTCAGTGAGTTCTCCAATTACATATGCACGCACAGACGTACCACTTCATGAACGAACATACTGAAAGGTAATAGTGCCGATTAGCAACTTTCATTTTTATTAAGTTAGGACAAGAATTCAATATACCGATATAATTTCGATATGATAAATGATTTCTATTAATATTAATCGTAATAATATAAATGTGATGATATTTGCTCGTAAAATTTATCATATTTTGCAGTAAATTAAATTTGCTGAAATTATATTGGTTCCGATTTCTGTAATAAAAATCAGCAGTATTCTGCAAAATTTTAAACGTGACAGCAATGCGGCTAAGATTTGAAATAAATCAGAAATCTTTTATTTCTGATTAATTTTAAATAAATTATATATATGTATAAATAGATTTAAATAAAACTCGAAAATCGAGTGGCGTTTCACTTCGACATGTTCAAGTAAGATATTTGTTGCTGTTTATTTAGTTTTAATTAATTTTTTATTTCTAGAAAGAAGCACTCTTCTTAGATCTCTTATTGAGCTATACAAATATTTTAAATTTATACAATTAATGATAAGAAACATTTAGGACAAATTATTGTTGCGTAATATTGGCATATCAGTTTGTCCTTAGAAATTTTTTTGTATTTAATCACCAGAACTATTTGCTTAAATTATCAAAAAACTATTGAAAATAAAACCAGAACTCCCAATTATTTATTATCTTCTATGAAATGATAAGTAAGCTTCACACACACAATAACTAAGGATTATATTTCAATGATAAGTAAATGATAATTTTGTAAATTTTTGAAGGCAAGTCTCGAATTCTCACATTATTTTCTATTAAAATTATATTAAAGCTTTGTATTACATCTACATATCATTTTTCAATTACCTTTTAAATAGTATCGCGTCGTGTTTATATAGGTTTTTATTTAAAAGTTAATTTTAAAGTACAATTACACATACTTCGAGACATCTATAATTGTTTACAAAAATCGGAAAATACTTTTTATTAGAAACTAATAATATAGTTATATAAATTCCAGATGTAAAATATATTTTCTATATAAGAAACTGGAAAAGAGAAGCTGATGAAAGGTTCGGAAGGAATGCATTACACGAATCAGATGAATTGTCGATCGGATTTCTTTGACGAATAACTATTACATTTACTTTCGACATTCGTTAACCGCAGCAATATCCAAGTAGAAAATATTGTTGTTGTGTGTTACTAAGTATATCTAATTGGTGATGTCTAAATTGTAACATTTCTCCTTACTTTATTATTTGCTAGAAAGTATGGTCGCTGACCTTACAAAATAGTATATTAATATAAATTGAAACAATGTTTAATAAAATCAGAATAGTGTTCAAATAAAGTTATAATACAATATAGTTCTGTCGATATTTTGGGTACGCGTATTTTTTATATTTTAAATTTTTTAAATCACGTTCCAAAAAATTGTATTTTAATACATTAATATTAACTATATGATTGTCGTTTGATCAACGAAGTTGTATTATTCACTGCGAATGGTAGCTAATCAATCGCTTATCGAATTTATCGTTTAGATAAGAACAGTCAAATGACAAATCTGAAATATGATAGAAAGGATTTTAAAATTGAAACTGTTTCAAAAAATTGTTATCGCGATAATAAAACAAACCTCTTATTGACTTTCAACTCAAAACATACAGTAATTTCAGAAATTTAAAATTTGTAATATAAATTATATCGTTAAAATATTTTCAATCAAAAATAATCTAAATTTACCAAAACATGCACTAATTTTTTATCTCCATAAATAAATTGTAAGTATAATTCATAATGGCTTAATGACAAACATTTTTAAATTTAAAATTAGAACATCAATATATAGTTGTTGCTTTTTTAAAAATTATGAAATAATTTATTATTTATGTAAATATGACATGTTTTGGATATAAAGATGGTTGCACATGTTCAAGATTCGTTGATAATCATAAAAAAATTATTTAATAATGGCATCGCCTGTGATAAATAAATCTTATTAAAAATTATAATGAGAGATGATCATCAAGTATAAATGCGAAAGCATATTTATTAAAAATCAGACATAAATATATATGCCCACCCATAATATCTTTAATGCTCATTTTTCTCTTTAGCAATCAATCATATCACTGTCTTCTGTGATAACAATGGATCGAATCCGGAAAGAAAACATGGTGCGTGCAGCAGAAAAAGAAAGCTAATCGTGCTCAGACGATGTCAACAAGGCTAACTCATTGTATTCCATACGATAAAAGAATTTTTTTCGATTTATTTAATTATTTGTCCATTCCAGTCTACAATTTCTATTTGCATGACTATGATTTTGCGATAGACTTGATGTATTTTAAAATAGAATATACATAAATAAAAAAGACTATTTTCAATGCTAAATTTTAGATGTCTATTTTTTTTTGCAATATCATACATAATCGGACTTTTAGTTTACATGTAAGAGAATTATAGGAATACATAATATAAGATGTTGGTAACACAAGAATTCTATGATATATGTATATAATCCTATGATATAGACTTATATGTCCAGAAGTCTCGCAATCATTACGAGGAAAAATTCGATGCCGATTACAAGTGCGCTCCCTATAAATAAATTTGCAGTTATCTGGCATTACTAGTATACTCTGTTCGAGTATTTCATTATTTGATTATTCGATACAGAAGCAGATAAGGACGAATTATCGGTGATTACTCGCTTGATCACAATAGTCAGCAGATATAATCCATGCGTGATCAGAGACGAACCTTAGTCCGTCCGCGATATGTGCGCGTTTCTCTCTAGAAAATCTGCGGTGTGAATTCACAGCTCGATCGTTCGTAAAAAAGACACGGAATACCAATAGAGCGTGATAATTATATTTTTTTCTTAAGAGAAGAAAGAAAAGAGAGAGGAAGAGAAAAAGTGTTGATGTGTTCACGTATATGTGTTTAACAATTTACCAAAGTTCAGAGTTTAGAGGTCAGTATAATTTTCTCATCATCGTAATGACAAGGCGTTCCTTTGAGAGAGAATTGAAAGTATATGCATATATACACATACATAGAGATGCTAAATAGCAAATTATAATTATCGTAAAAAAACCATGTAATTTAGCATTAACTTTTCAGAGAGACCTCGCAATAAAGTCCACGCAATAATATTTATATAATTTATATAATTTGAAGCAATCGACTCACGAATTCGTTGGTACATTAAGAGAAACACTACACTCTTTCCACTATATTATTCTTATTATTGTATAGAGATTATATACCCGCGTGAACCTTCCGATAAGATAGCAACAATCATGGCGCATTGATATTCAGAAGTCCTCAATTCGTTTGACAGATAAATTGCTTTACCAGTGGTTTTGTTGCATTTTTACGTTCCAGTGCAATCATCTCGTGTTGATCATTCAAGATGAAACAGACGCTAATGATTAGAGAAGCTGGGCATTTCGTTGTTCAAAGCCTATTACCGTGCCCGGATGTTCGCAACTAACGCTTTGATAGTCCCCTCCCAGAATTAACACAGAGATGCTGGATCTGTGCCTGTGACACGTTGTATAAATTGTGCTGTTTGTGTCTATGTATGTCATCGTGATGTGTGTATGTCGCGAAACTTGCATGCTCAATTTAGATTGGCAATGAACGAACCATGAGTAAAATTCTCCGTCATGCATTTTTGCAATTAAATTCGAATATTCTGACTGGATACTGTAAATAAAAAACGCATAGTTGGAAAATGTAGGAAAAATAACGTGATGCATCTAATTTATCAACGGAAGTAATAGAACATCATATTTTAATCATCATCCTATATTAGCAGAGACTGTAAAAAACAGCATATTTCTTCTGTCAAAGAAGAATACAAATTTTTTTTAATTCGAATTGAGACTACAATATTTCGAGTTGCTATATTTTGATTTATGGCAATCATATCAATTGCATTAAAACGATGTAGAATGAAACAATAATGATCAATAAAATTGAACGATTATGTACGTTGCACGATTATGTACGTGGCGCGTAATACCAGAGTTTTCCGTCCCGAATTTCTCGATTCATCAGAATTATTAAATATATCGTGGTTTCACAGATTAAGCAGATTACATTCAGTTAGTTAAATCGTTTTGTCGAAGGTTGGCGCCGCGTAGAGAGACGATCTTGCGTGGTCTACTACGTTAACATCTAGCGTAGGCGAAAATTCTGTTCGCGGCGTTCTTGGACGAGGTAGAAACTCGCGCGAATTCGTAGAGCAAACTTTTTAGAGTCGACAACAAATTGTTCATCAGTGCAATAAACGTTCGCCACCGATATAAATTCCGTCCGTGCGATCAAATAATTGTACTCTCGGTCAAACAATAATTGTATACGGATTGATTATCTGGAGCACTGAATCATCTGAGACGACAAACACGATCGTAGGCATCGAAATGAAAATTACCTGGTAAATTGACAGTAAGTAATAGACGTTGCACAGCTATAAAGATTAATTTTGTGGAAGTTTTATCGGTGCAGACACAAATACCGCGTCCTCCGATCTATAACAACAAATGGAAAACTTGTAACGGTTGGATGCATCCTGAGTGCATTGGAGTTGTCGAGTTCAACGGTTAAACAAGCACGGAGACACGTAAACATTTCATGTTCCAATATCGCTTTGTCCGTTCGCCGACCACCGTTCAGTCGGGTGTCTGCTCCTTCGACGGTCTATCGTCGAGTCACATCGTCGCGAATCTTGTCTAATTTAAGTGATTTTCAGATAATTCGCTGTGCATTTGTTTATAAAAATTGCAAGAATTACGTCTAGTTAAATTTCATATAACGCGACACTTTTAAATAATTGTGTTAAATATATTCAATTTACAAAATGTCGTTTTAAATGCAGCAAAAAAGGCAACCTGTGAATTGAGTGATAACGTGCTTCTATGCGGGTGCATATATGAGTACCAACGTCAAATTAGAAAAAATGTTTTAACTCTATACCTAGTTTTTTTTACTGCACAACACCAAAATATTTTTTTAATCCTTTTAAAATTATAATATTAAAGTATGATAAATAATGCTTTGGAATATCGAGCAAAAAAAATAAATATGCACAAAGGATTAATAATTAAAAAATAAAATACATTTTTTAGTTATAAATAAAATATTTTCATCACGTAATTTACTTATAAGGAAAAGTCTTTTTTTTCGCAATTGTAATGACTAAAACTGACTGCACTTTTACGTTTTATAGTATAAAAATTCGAAGATTGCTTATTATGTGTCACTTGAGGAGGATCTCATAAACAACATGCGTAATCTCCCCCTCATTGAATGTACGTTCTCTTATATGTATATATCATCATTATAAAAGAGCAGTATGATTATTCTTGTCCTCTGTACCATCGATGAAAGCGAACAGTTTGAATTGAGCACTTTCAGTTTACTTGTTCAATCGTGTTTAATTTCTTTCACACATTAACTATCGTTTACACACAAAAAAAGACAAACTATAATTTGAAATAAATAATCTCTGTAACGTATTCTGCACTCCAAGATCTAATTAATTTCATTCGAATAAGTAACGTGAGAGTTGATTTCGCTAATAAAAAACTGATCGCGCATTTTTACACAATCTAGTATTAGTTTTAAATAAACAAGTTTCCAAAGTTTTCAGAAAACAAAACAACTTTATCAACGAGAAGTCATCTTTTCTACAGGTTTCCAAAACAAGTTCTATAAATAAATTTAAGAGAGATCGAATATACAGTTGCAGATACAGAACTTTCGATCGTTATACTGTGATATCGTGCGATCGTGAAATAACAGTGATTCCCCATATATATATACATATATATATCGTCGTAGAGAATAGAAACATTCATCACGTGACTTTGCGAGCAGGGTCATGGCTGTGAAAGAGTGGTTCAGAAGGCTGCAACCGGTGCAGTTGTACCTGGTGCTTTTTTTCACCACGGCCTTTTTCTTAATCGAGATCATCGCCAGTCATGTAACGCATTCGCTGACTCTGCTGCTCAACGCGTATCACATGCTCTGCAACATCGTGGCACTTGTTGGCTGCATTGCCTCGATCAAGGTAAGTGCACAAATCCGCAAACCATTCCTAAGTCTCGCTTACGAAATGACAATGTAATTTCATACTTTCGATCTGTTTATCGCGTAATTATTACCTTCATAAATGTATAAAAAAAAGAGAAACTTAACTTTTTTTATAAAATAAGTGATGTAAAATATAATTCCTTTCTATCGTAAACGAAACATAAATAATATTCAACATGCAAGATCTTTCATTTTTCGGATAGTCATTTTCGAAGAAAAAACGTAAGAAAATCTATAGCTGGAAAAATGTTCTTGTTAAAAATTGATAAAAATTAACAAGATTTTGAAATGCTCTTACGTTAACGAAACGTTATTTATTTAGCGATCTTTCATGATATAAATTTGCAATTACGTATAATCGCATTGTTTGCAGTATAGCTATCGGGAGAGATACAATAACAATAGCAACTGCAGTTCAGTGGGAAATTCATCTATTTGCATTAACGGGGAGGAACAGGGTTCTGTCACATCTTTATCAACGAAAACAAAGGTATGCTTAACAATATCAAAATTAGAAGTTAGACTTCAGAATTTTTCTAATCTTCATAATTCTAATAAAAAATTGTATATAAAACTCTAAAGTTATCACTATTTTGCATAGAAATAAAATATCTCTTTTGCTTCTTGTGAATAAATTCTTGTACTATCAAAAGTTTTATATAAAAGACTTTCTTTGGAATACAAAGCTTTAATTACTGTCCTATTTTGAAATTATATGATAAAAAATAACAAATAATTATAAATTAATAAAATGTCAAAATTTTGCTTATTTTATTCTCAATTATTACAAGATAGGTTATGATAAAAATTCAAAATAACTTTTAATCTCTTAAATAAAATTGGCATAAAAAAAGTCAATATACAATTTTGAAATTTTTATAAAATACTCATTAATAACAATTGCTTAATGTCATAGACAATCTTTAAAAATAAAATCTTTTATTTAAAGTATGTTGCAAAGCATGCACTTATTAATAATTTCGATGAAAATTTGCTTAGGAATCATGGTCGGACAGGAAAATGAAAAACACATTTGGATGGGCCAGAATCGACATTGTCACGATGCTTGTTTGCTGCATATTTTTGACATCTTTTTGTTTCTCCCTATTAATGGAGGCAGTGCAGACATTGGTGCACATCGATCATCTGGATGAAATGCATCACCCGATGCCTGTACTGTGCATCGGCGCTTCCGGAATACTTCTAAACGTCTTATGTTACATTTTAATTGGGGGATTCACGTTTAATCAAGGAGTTTTCCTGCACGTCACTGAGAAAGGAGACGTAATACTAAGCAGGTAGATTTTGATAGCAAATTATAAACAGTCGAAGAACAAGAAATGTATGCATAATTAAGATATATCCTTTCATAAATAAAAATAATTTAAAATATAGGTTTTTCGAAATATTTCATTCTAATGGAAATAAGCAAAATTCTAAAGTTATTAGTATTTTAGTAACTTTGTATTCCAAAGAAAGTATTTTACATTACGTCTCGAAAATTTTGATAGTATAAGAATTTATTTATGAGAAGCAAAAAGATATTTTCTTTCATATAGAATAATAATGACTTTAAAATTTTATATTAAAAAATATTTTATTTCTAATGGCAGATTACGATTTCCCAATATTTCAATGACAATCTCATGTATACAAGAAGACAAAATCTATTAGTATTTTTATTATCCTAAAATATATTTTATTAACATAAAATATTTGATATTTTAGGAATGTGAATTCGCAAGAAACAAAGAATGGTGAGCAACAGTTGTCGGCAGAGACTAGACGAAGTCCACTAGCAATACCAAAAAGCCAAGGTTTTAGAGAAATGTGTCGAGATGTTTTAGGATGTGTTTTTGTCATATTAGTGTCGATTTTAGTCTATTTCACCGATTCTGATGTGGCTAAATACATCGATCCGGTCTTCGCCATTATTTCATCGATTTCACTGTTCGTTCTTTGCTATCCATACAGTGAGTATATTTCTTTTTAAATATAGAATCACGAGATAACGTACTGTGATATTTATTTGTACAAAAATAATTTATCATAGTAATTGATTAGATTTTTTTTCATTCTGTGATTAATATATAATTTTTGAAAATAATCAGCTTTTTTCTCTATCTTTTTGTATAGTGAAAGAATCAGGTTTGATTCTCCTTCAAACCATTCCAAATCATATAAATATCGATTCTCTGAAAAGAGAATTATTAGAAGCTTTCCCGGGTATCGTAAATGTCCATGATTTACATGTATGGCAATTAGCAGGAGAAAAAATAATATCTACAGCACATATCATATTTTTAGATCCAACGGTAAGATAAATGCAATGCAGATCAATGCATAAGTTAAACTAATTTATATATAAAACAGTCTATATATTTAATAAATTACTTAATAATTTTTCGAAAAAAATGAAAGTTTTATTCGATAATTTTTAATTGAAAAAACATTTCCCTATTTTTTCTTCAGGTTTATGCTAGTATCACGGATCAAGTCACCGCCTTTTTTGTCGAAATGGGGATTACGCAAGTTACTATACAACCAGAATTTCATAAAGTACGCAAGATATATTTAACACTTACTTTTTCTATTTTTACTTGATCGAATAATGAATGTGTTATCAGATAAAACCTAATATGGAGGAAACTGATTGTTTGATTCGTTGTCACGGAAAGCACTGCAGTTCCTCTCAATGTTGCTCGCGAGAAAACTTCTTGGAGGAAGACAAGACGGAGAAGGACACGCACACGATTAATAGAAAGTATGATAAAAAGGAGATAATACCAGCTACATGTGCAATTAATTTGGAGAAATTTACTACTCATACGGAAGAAACCCTAGTGCAGACTGCTCAGAGCGATTCAAAAGCAGAAAATTCTGAGCACGATCCGACGAACGAAAACACGTCTCGGTTGAATGGTGATCAAGGCTAAAGCATCGTAAATAGTGACATTCAATTTCTATGTGATAACTATAATATACCGACCGAATATCTACAAATACCGGATACCCGCAGCTACAGATAACAGCCTAGTTTACATTTTTTCCCTATAATGACACTATATCCTCTTTATGTTGAAAACGATGTCATGGATATGGCATATCCATGACCAAACTTCGACTTCTAATAACTTTTAAAATGACACATAACATATATTTATTCGGTCATTAACTCAAATATTAAAACCGCGGCAAACAAATTTATTTCCTTATTGATAAAAAAAACCCTACAAAACTATATATCCTAAGAAAGTAAAAATAAATACAAAATCTAATTACAAAAAATATTTTATATTTTTAGTATCGTGTTAGAATTAAAGCTTCATTCACTGTTCATGGATAATAGTTTTGTTTGATCCTTTTACAGGGTGGTATTATTTTTTTTTAAACCATACAATCTTGTTGATCAAGAAATCACAAGCACTCTCAAATCACAGACATTACGAAAAAAAGACTTGTAAAAATTTTTACATTGCATTAAATTTTCTGCTATACAAAGTTTTATTTTAATATAATAAATTAATGATAAATTCTTCTAATAAAATAATTTTAAAAAATGTGATATTAGGAAAAAAAAATTATCTGACATGTAAAAATATCAAGACTAATACGAGTCCTGATATATACGTAAAGACATATTTTTAACGAGAAGACTGCAAGCTAGTATTAAGTATTTCAAAATGTACAACGTCAAGATAAATAATTGCTAATGTCTAATAGTTTCATAAATTCAGGCAGTATGTGTGCTAGTTATTAAATGAATGGGATATTAATTTCATTAAACATATATAGTTCATAACGAAAATTCATTTAGTTATTCATTAATTTTTTTTAGTGCGATAAAATGTATTTTTCAAAATATAAACGTTGTATATGTATATGTATATGCATCATTCATATTATTTATAATTATTGTCGCTCATAAATATATGTACATGTATATGTATGTACATTTACATTGCTATATATTTCTTAAAGATGTAATAAGTAATCTAAGACAAATCTTTTATTTTGAAATAAAGATTAAATAAATATAATAAGAATTTACTCCATAAAAATTTAAAACCAAAAGAATGTAAAACATGAATAAATAATCATGTATTTATGAGAGATAATGTATCTAATACAAATAATTAGAATAATAGCTCAATAACTAATATACCAGTATTAATAACAATTCGATATGTTCCTCTTTCTTAAATCTATAATTTGTACTTCTCAATAAATAAATATAGTTTTTTCCGAATTTTTCAGCTATTATTAGATGCATTATTATATAAAAATCAATTTAAGGATATCTTAAAATAAATTACTGCAATTAATTTTAAAGAGATCTTATATAAAAAAAAAATTAGCATAATTTATGAACGATAAGATTAACAAAAACTTTGATGATAACGTATGTCACTGACAATCCCTACGCGATAGTATGGGCGTTAATTATCAAAAACCTGTTGTTGCTGATAGCAACGGGGTCTACAGCACCCTATCTTAAGTTTGGGATTGCTGTTCAGACAGATAATTTAACTTACTATCCACAAATAAACTGACATATGTTTAATATTACGAGAGAAGCAGATCTTGTGTTATTTCAAATTTTAAAAAATTTGCTATATTTTAAACATTTGTGTAATAATTTATAATAAATTTTTATATCTATACACAACAAATATTTTTTATATCTTTATAAAAATATTTTGATTAATGATTATAAAGAAATGTTCTCTTATCTCTTTGTAATTCATATAATAACGAATTTATTTGTATATATTTGATTTTTATATGTTGAATAGAAAATATTATTTTCTTATATATTTTTAATTTAAATTGATCATATTTATTATATCAATTAATTATGAAATTCATTCTTTCTCTCTAAAAATTGCAGTTCTTTCTTAGGAAAGCATCAAATAATTTTTTTATACAAAAACGCATTGTTTATTTCGTATACTTATAGTTCTATATATGACTACATAAAAAAATGTGTGAAAAGATTGTTTATAGATATGATACTTTAGCGGAAACTGCGGTTTATAACCCGCACTTTAATATATTTGAAGAGATTGTTATAAACTCTGTTGCGAGAAATAGAGAAATACTTCGAAGATTTTGCAATAAGGAAACTATTAAATAAATATTATTATACTTATCAAACTTATATTTATTGTTTTCAGTATTATATTAATTTTTTTTAAACATGAATAATACTCATTCCATTTACTCTACTATTACGATTTTTTGCAATAAATTTGAAGCTATAAAATAAAATTATATTGCATAAAAATTAATATTTTATTTTAATTTGGATTTTTTATTAAAATAAAGATTGTATATTAAAAAGTGTATTTAAACAATTTATTGATAGACTAACGCCATCAGTATATAATGTGTATAAACTGCAATAGACAATGAATAATCTACCGATGATCAATTATAGCCTTTGTAATAATTTAACAAGTTTTATATATAGATATATTAATAATACTTCAATGTCTCTTATTAAAATTGTATCAATTTGTTTCTTGTCATATATATTCTAAAGAGAATAAAAAATACGAAAAAGCTATTGTCAAGAAATAAAGACGCGTTATTCGTGTCAACAGTTTCTGCTAATCAGTTCAATAATCGCAATTCTTCACTGTTAAATCATGTTAATTTAAAAGTTATACTTTCGACACATCGTAAAGTGTGCATAACTTTATGAATGCAAAATTCAATGTAAATCTATTCTATCCAAAAAAATTGCTGGTCTTAAATATATACTATATTTAATATATATTATATACATATACATATACATATAAAAATATCAAGATATTCCTTGTAATCTCACCTTGAAAAATGCCATTTAGCAGACAGAAGTATCTTATGCCTAAGATCTAAAATATCAAACTGTATAAACTGACTAGTTTCGTAAGAAATTGCGTAAATTATATTTCTATTTATAGCATTTTAGAATTCTCTGCTTCTTTTAGAAAGTAAGTTTTCTTAAATGAATAAATAAAAAATTTAATTTAAATTTAATTTAAATTTAATTTAAATTAAATTTAAATTCAATTTAAATTCAATTTAAATTTAATTTACAATAAATAAATGTCTCACAATCACCAATATTTTAAATAACAAACAATTTTTCAAACAAAAATATCACAATATTAATATTTTTTCAAGTTATAAACAATTAAAAAAAGGAGATGTTTGTGTGTGATGGAGTAACTGTTGAATTTTAAAGGGTCAAATGGATAGCAGAACCTATACATTCTCCAAATCAAGAGATAGAGTTTTAGTTTCTTTTAGGTTCAGTTACAAAAAAACACATGAAAAACATGTGAAAAAAATATATAGAAAAACATATTCTGAGACACTAAAACGTTTAGAGTCAGATAGAAAAAAAACATATGTGGATAGCAGAACCTATACATTCTCCAAATCAAGAGATAGTTTTAGTTTCTTTTAGGTTCAGTTACAAAAGAACACATGAAAAACATGTGAAAAAAATATATAGAAAAACATATCCTGAGACACTAGAACGTTTAGGGTCAGATAGAAAAAAAACATATAACATTAAATTCGAAAGTTTTAATAAAGCCGATGTATGACGACAACTTTCGAAGAAAAATCGATTCCTAGTTAAACAAAAAATGTATCATTAAAAAAGCAACTGGTTTCTTTGCAACATTTTACATAACAATTATATTTTTTAAGAAACATATATAGCACAAATTGTTATTCCTAAATATATTTAAAAATAATTTTCAATGGTGTCTTGTGTAAAAATGATTTCCCACATAACAATGTCTAATTTGTTGATACGATGCGAATGACTCTCCACAATCGGAGTAAAAATTTAACATGAGACTTACGGTGTAATTTGCAGTAAAAATTAGAGTATTGCCGATCGACTGATGCCCCACAGACTTCATACGCGACTTGAAGCCTCAACGTAGGTAACGCTGGCATCAGAAGGAGGATGGTGTCACGACATGACGTCGTCTCCGATAAGTTGTACTCGAACGAGAAACCGGCCGGGTGGGGCCTGTTCGTTTAGTCGTGCTTACGAGACTCAGTGTGAAAGTGACTGCGTAGAACGCAGTAGGGAGCGGTTGGGCCCTCGAAGAACGATTTTAAGGCTTGTCTTCGCGCCCATGGCCGACAAGTTTTATTAAATAACATCGGATAAAATGTGAGAATATATTAAATGTGAAAGAAAAAACGAAAATGTTACGACACCACGTGCGATACCGCGTTCTAGTATTCGTCGTTTTCACGCTCTGCCAAGGTAATTAGCACAATACCTGTCCGCACGCACGACGTATACCTGTCGTATAATGCATGTGCATGTGTTTTTGTATATGTGTATTTGTGAAAAGAATAAAGTGGTCACATGGTTCTCACTGAGTCACATTTATTGGTGTCGCGGTCAGATTTTGCTTGAAGAATATACGACATGGAAACTGTTTTATTGCTACTCAACAAATATATCAAATGTTGTCAGTAACTTTTTCAAATTACTTAAAGAAAGAGATACGTGCTATTTCTCGCTTCAAATTTTTGTTAGATTAATATTTAATTCACGTTTGCTCGTATATAAGTATTTAAGAAAATCTTGAGCGAAATAAATTATATATATTGTTGTTCATTTTATAGAGTTTGCATGAAAATTGTCATATAAATTGTAAATTGTATTTACTCCAAATTTTTGTTGCGAACACGGCACAAAAGCGGTTTAACAACGCTGTCTTTACAAATAATTTTGTAAGACAATTTTATTATAGTAAAGCGTGGATAGAACGAATGTCGAGTGAATCATACCCAAAGAACGGCGATATTCACCTGTAGCTAGGCTACCCGCGAAGCTTTATCGACTACTGTTAGATGAAGAAAATTTAGGAAAATGATAAGCTCTTAATACGATGTTTATACGGAAACAAACAACTTTTCGTACGTTATAACAAATAATTTTTTATGTTAATTAATTACTTATTGTTAATAAAGTGCGCGCGAACATTTTTTAATAATCAACGTATATTGACGTAATGATCAATTGTTTTCAATTATAATCGTAAATTAAGATAACGATACAATCAACGTTCTGTATCGAATAAAAATATAAGATATGTGATCTTATATATATATATATCTAATATTTATTACACTAGTACTATTGAATCAATTATCTCTCAGCGGTGTATCAATCGTGAAATCTCATTGAACTTAGTCTCTTACGTTGGCGTTTTAAGCGGTGATAATTTTATAGGTTTAATAATATGATCAATCAAGGTCACAATGTGCAGCATCTAAAGATGCTCCGTAAAATACATGAAAGGAAGGGAAAAAAGAGAATAATGTCTGAAATATTTACATTATATAAAAGAAACGTCGATGTGTATTGACTACAATAATGTAGAACGAGTCATGCTTGATTGCATTAGTCATCATTTGTGCAATAAATATCTTGTTCGATGACAACATATGCAAAAATGCGTATTATTGATACCATAACAGAATATTGCGATCTTCTCATCTCGTCCTTCTCTTATTTTTAAATTTAAAGATCGCGAGAATTGTAAAAGCTAAAATTTAATATTTTTTTTTAGTTTGCAATATTTCTTGGAATATAATTCTTGACATATTTTAAATTCAAATATTTTCTAAAAAGAGTAGTTAACATTCACTATATTTTTTTAAAAGTTGATGTTTTTACATTAAATATCACATCGAATAAAAATTTTGTAATATTGTCAATATTAATTTTTTTTAAACAAATATTTAAATTGTTTATTTTATTGTAGTTTGCCTTAATTAAAATATTGTTCGATATAAATATAAATACCAACTGATTTTTTTCATTTTTTTGATAGATATACGAAGGATTTTTTTTTATATAATAAATTAAATTTTATTTAATGAAAATATATGCAAAATTATATGGAATAACATATAAAAATGTATTTAATATTTAAAAAATTTATATTTTTTTAAATACTATTTTGAGGTTCTTTTTTAATGAACCTTTTGTAATAAAATAGAGAATTAGTTAGAGAAGGAAGTTAAGATATTTTGTAATCTCTTTATTGTCTTTTAAAGTTTAAATGATTAAACTTTTTAAATATTTAATGTAAAAAATTCCATTATTTGATCTGTGAATTAGTTTTTATTAGCGAAAAAGAACTTCCAACTTTGAATTCAAGAATTCTTTTAAGATTAATGAATCTCTTTTAATTTTTACTTTATATAATCTGTCAGATTTCATAGCTCACATTTTTATCTTTAAATACGATATTATATTTTGATATGGTTTTTGAAACAATATAAAAAGATTCTCAGTTATGTATCGTTATTTTTTAGCGTAAATATAATACGATTTAACCGTATCATATTTACACAAATGATAATGCAAAATTGCGCGCTAACGCATCTGTAAACTTTCCATAATAAATTTGCATTATTGCAATCTTTTCTATTGTAAATTATCACATAGTTTGAAACAAGCTATTTATTTGCAAAGCTCAATTGTTCACGTTCTTATATTTCCTACGGCTTCTACACAAACATATTAATACATATGTGCTGATAATATGAACACGTTATCGGGAAAGGAAAAGAGGACTTCCTTCCTAGCTATACGAATTGTATTTACGCAGAAACAGACTGAAACAACACGTGCGTCCTTTTGTGTAAAAGAGTAAGGAGGAAAGCCAGATAAAGCCAATCATCCGCAGGACATTGTGGCTAACGCGACGACGTTTTCTTTCCAAACTCTTAATCATATTCTCATTTTATGCACGAACATTCGGCAACAGTTATTATATAGAAATGTTTCCCATAATCGGGAAATAAATATCAATATAAAAATAATTAAGACTTAATACAAAGATTAGAAATAAAGATATGTTATATAATTGTAATTAGAAATTATTTCTATAATATTTCTATAATCAATTTTAATAATTTTTAAATCATATATTTGATTTGTACGAGCAATTTTGTATTTTTCAGTATCGGAAAGTAGCAAACCAATTATTTCACCGAACCAAGAAGAAATTGTATTAAATGAAGGGGAACCTTTAAAATTTACTTGCACAGGCTCAACACCACTCCAATTTATTTATCCCGATGCGGTATGCATTGCAATTTTAATTTTATTTTCCATATTCTTGTTATATTTTTTTCTGTATTCTGTTTCTATTTTCTATATAATTCCAATTTAATTTCTAGATAATATATACAAAAAATATCTTTATATAGCAAAATTTATTTTCAAAAAATATGCTTAATTTCAATTGTAAAAAGAATATGCATATCATATGAAGTTTGCCAAAAATGTTATCTATAGATATTAAATTGGAATTGTATAAAGAACAGAAACAGACTATAGAAAAAATATAACAAGAATATATATATAGAAAATAAAATGGAAATTAATAGAAAATTACAATATTCTTATATTGTAACCGTATGTAATTTATATATTAAACTTTACATTATTATTATGACAGATTAATACTTCAATGCGGGAAATAACCGAGGATAAGGAAAATGATGTTTACATATATACTTTTCAACGAGCAAAAACTAATTTTGGCGATACAGGATGGTATGGTTGTGCCGATTATAATGTTGAAATTGTTTCTGATAACGACTTTGATAATTCTGAGGTGAAGTGGCTATACGTTTACGTACAATGTAAGCCAAAATTATGTGTCCTACTTTTACGAATAAGTAAAAAATATTTTATCTATATTTTGTTCGTAGTATGTTCATGTATTTCATATTGCGTTAACTTGTTATAGCTAGTACGAATTTATTCGCTAAAGCGGACGTCTTTTCTCATTTGAGTGCTGTTGCTGGTAATAATGGTGTAATACCATGCAGGCCTACATGGCCGAACCTAGTACCTATTTTATCTTACGATAATGTGAGTATTAACAATCAAAACTAACAGATAATATGCAATCTAAATAAATGTAAAAGTCGCTTAGATTTGTACAACATGCGGCGACGTATTAAGCATTTATGGGGAAAATTAGAATAAGATTATTATTATTTTTTAGAATAAATTTATGTAGAAATATGGAAATAAGTGCGAGAAATTGTACTTTGCGAAGAATATTAAAAATACGCTTAGCAATTTCATTTATAATATCATAATAAAAGTAGCTGCTATAATTTTATCAGATTAATATTTATCGTCAGATATTTTTCTAACATTTCAATACGTTTAGATGCAGGAAGATGAATTGGAGGAAAGGATATCATTTGATCCTAGAATTGGCTTTACAATTAGAGACCTGACAGTAAAAGATAGCGACTATTACAAATGCTTGATAAAGAAGGATGACGAAGAGCAAGAGGCCATTTTTGTCTTAGCTGTAGAGCGTAAGTGCGGTCAACTCGAGATGTTAATTTCCCCATATACATATATAAGATGTTCAAACGTATGTTCAGGCGTAATTAATGAAATTTCTTGGTATAATGCTAATAAGAATAATTAAATTGTTTACACAGTAAAGCAAACTCTGTCCGAGCCAAAAATTCACGAGGGCAATTTGCGTCATGTCACACGTGGACAAAACCTGTACGTCAATTGTACCATTGAACTTGACCCATCTGTTCACCTGTACGTATTTAATTGGACCACACCGCAACAAAAGGTAAACAGCTTATATTAGTTTTATTTCGTAGCGAGAACAAGACTGCATTGAAAACGCGTTTAAATTAATAACGAGAACTAAATTGATATACTTTATTAAAGATGATATGTGGAAAAAATGTTACTTATTTCTTTCTAACACATTTTTCGAAAAATTATGAAAATAAAAAAATATTCTAAAATTATATATTGATTTTTCATACTATAACGAGAACTAAATTGACATACTTTATTAAAGATTAGACATGCATATTTTAACGACGCGACGTTACGCGCAATTAAAGTTCTTTGTTCTCTCTTTATACCCCTAGATTTTTTCATTACAGTATTTGTTATTCGCATATGTGTTTTTTTTAAATTACAGAATGACAGCAGAGTAAAAACTGAACTGTTTAGGCAACTGCACGATTACTTAGTTACGGTTCAGTTGACCGTACTTAACATAACGGACGAGGACGCGGGAGAGTACGAATGTTTTATTAGATCCGCTTATGAGACGAAAAAAACAACGAAAACCATTACAATACACGGTTAGTTAATTATCATTCATTTAAATATAATTAGAGAATGCGCTTGGATATTGATGAGAAAACGATACGTCTGTGTATGAAATATAAAACAGACCTACACATTAAAGAAAAGTCGTATACTATTTTTCACGTTTCTATATATTTTACTATTTTTCATTTCAGATCCTCAAATAAAGTTCATAAATCTTACGTCTCAACACATTGATAGATATTATCAAGGAGAAAAAGGCGGTAAGGTGCAATGGGTTGTATATGTTGATGCATATCCTAAACCGCATTTACAATGGTAACTTTTCTATTTCTTCTAAAAAAAAAATTGCTAGCTTGACTAAACCTTTCAACTAAATATTATTTTGTTAATTAAACATATAAAAATATTTAAATTAAATAATATATTAAATCTAACATAACGTATATTTGACTTAAATACTAATATATGTTCAATTAACAAAATAGTAATTTAGTTGAAAGATTTAGTCAAGTTAATACATTTTTTTCAGTGTACTAATTTATAATTTTATAACACGTTTAAATATTTTTTTTTAATTACAGGTTTAAACCAAATGGTCAGGAAATTACAGAGAATCAAAAGTATTTCGTAAACATAAGTACAACAGCTACCATTTTGAAGATAAGAAATTTAGAAATAACGGATACAGGAGATTATATACTTGAAGCTAAAAATGATTATTTGATCAAAAAATTAAATTTTACACTCGATATCATATCTAAGCCTTTTACAATATTAACTGAGATTGAATCTTATTATGCACCTAATGAAACTGCGGAATTCCGTTGTGAAGTACTATCACATCCTGAGCCAAATATAACATGGAATTTTTTGAAATGTCCTAATTATCCATCACTTAAAAATTCAACAACTGTTCAACTGACGGTACATACCTGTATATTATAACTGTTTATTAAAAATCTAACATTTCATGAAATAGATATTTATCTGCATTTATATTACGAGAAACTTTTTTTATTTTTACAGGATGTAATGCAAAGCAGCTCCGGATACGGATTCGAATCAAGAGCAAAAATGCTTATCGAGGTATCGGGAAAAATAACATGTAAAGCTTGCAATATCCTGGATTGTGATGCCGTGACGGATAACATTTTTGTTTCTGGTAAAAAGACTTTCCTCTGTCTAGCTATTAAAATTTATCGTATTGCTATTTTAATTTCATATCGTATAAAAAAATGCCTATCAATTATAATATTAAATTTTAAATGTAAGAACATCAATCTATTCGACAAATATAAAAATGATTTATATTATTTTACAAAATATTTTTAATTTCTTAATCTCGTCATTATATAAATATGCAAAATATTAAATTCTTCTTTACTACTTCACTGTTCCCAATGCTTTTAAATGTCAAAATATATCAATAATATTAATATTTTTCGTTTCTTAAATTTTGTAGATGGAGTAGGTGCTTTTGGGATTATCGGACCAAAGGAAGAAGTAACCGAAGGCGATAATGTTGAATTGATATGTGCTGCTTCTGTTTACAACTACACAGACGAGTTTGCATGGACAAAATTAGATAACAAGACTGAAACGTCAGTTAACGAAACAGGTAATTATTTCAAACAGTTAAAAGAATTAAACAAATTAAAGAAAAGATTGAGAAAAAGAAATATATATATATATATGTGTGTATATAATATTTATCATTTTTAGAAAGACTACAGATAATGCGATATGAAACTCCGTTTACTTATCGATCAACTCTAAAAATTCATGATGTCCAAGAATCAGATGCTGCTTCTTATATTTGTACTGGGAAATACATAAATAAAAACCACGAGGTTTCCGAAACAGTCCTATCTGATTCTGCAAACTACGAATTAAAAGTTCACGGTAATTGCATTTATTGATTTCTCTAATATTAAAAAAATATCTTAAAAATTTAATTGTAGTCATTGTATAACAAATTAAAAAAAAGCAATTGTAATACAAATATTTTAACTCAAAATATTAAGAATGTTAAAATATAATATTTTTTTAAAATGTTTTAAATATAAATATAAAATTATTGCGTGCAAACCTCGATTATTCATTTATTGTAAAGAATATGTCTATATTATACTTAATGTATTATAATTCATCGCAATCAATTTTTATAGAAAATATTTTGTAACTTATTTTTTTATATGTTTGATGTTATATAGAGGCAGTGTCCCCGTTTTTCACAAAAACTAACATGAACGAAACAATAGTGAAAAATATCGACGTGATTGCCGAAGGCCATAAAACACTTGTTTTACAATGTTTTGCGGATGGAATGCCAAAACCGATCATTGCTTGGTACAAGGACAATGTACTGTTAATGGAAAATGAGCAATATTTATTCAAATACAATTATCAGGAACTTGATATTAAATATTTTAAGCAACATGATAGCGGAAAGTATTCCTGTCGCGCTATCAATCGATTAGGCATAAATGAAACCTACCAGCAGATAATTGTAAAACATGGAAAATGTAAGAAAGAGAATCTAAAAAATTATAATAAAAAAATATTAATAAGTACAAAGATTAAAAATAAAAAAATTTTGCAGGGCAGAAACTTGACGTAATATTAGCTGCTTCAATAGCTATTTTAGGTATCATATTAGTGATTTTAGCAATCTTTTTCACAATTAAGGTTCGTCGTGAAAAGGTAAATTATATTCTTTTAAATTGTAGTCTTCATATAAATCGTATAAGAGTAATATATAAAATATAAGACATTATGTCGCAACGAAATCTTATATGAAGAATATAATACTGTATAACCAAATAAAAATTATATCCTTAGAAAATGCGAAAAGAATTAATGGAAGCAGGTCTCATGCACTTTGAAGAAGGTGCTCTGGAATGTCTAAATCCGGATTTGACGGTTGATGATCAAGCAGAATTATTGCCTTATGATAAAAAATGGGAATTCCCAAGAGAACGATTAAAGCTCGGTAAGCAAAACTCTTACGCGTAATTTAGTTTAAATTTAATCAAGTAAATATATTCAGTCTAATGCAACAGAAACTAATTATTTTTTAGGAAAACAATTGGGCAGTGGTGCTTTTGGAGTTGTAATGAAAGCAGAAGCGCAGGGAATATGTGAAGAAGAAACTGCCACAACTGTCGCCGTAAAAATGGTGCGTCGAACTACCGATCCAACTTATGTTCGTGCTCTTGCCAGTGAACTGAAAATCATGGTGCACCTTGGCAAGCACCTGAACGTTGTTAATCTACTTGGTGCATGCACTAAAAATATTTCTAAACGTAAGTATTGTTGAAGTCGTTCGCATTAAGAAACAATTGTATTGAAATAACGATTGAAAATGTTTGCTCGTTGAGATTTAAAAATGTATTTAACTTGCATTGTTTTTAAGCATATCTGTTAATATCAAACAGAGATAAAAAATTAAATATTTAAAAAGCACTAAGAATTATAATCTTTATGTTACAACAGGCGAATTGTTGGTAATTGTCGAATATTGCCGTTTTGGAAATTTGCATAATTATCTCTTGAGACACAGAAGTAATTTTATAAATCAAATTGATCCCAACACTGAAAAACTTGATCTCACTATCGGTATGGATTTATTAACGAGAACTGACAGTGTCAGTAGTAATAACAGGTTTGTCAATAAATCATATTTTAAATATTATATTATTACGCTCAACATGACTTTTATTTTGTTAATAAATGCAATATAACATATTCAGAAAGTATATTCAGAAAATTTTAACTGTAATCTAAACTGTATTTCAAATCACTATTTAAACTTTCGTAAAATGTAATGCAAATTAATTAAATTAAAGCAAACATTCTTTCTCTATGTTTTAAACAATTTCCTAAAACATACTAATCATATTAAAAATTAAATATTTCTTTATTTTTCCAATTAAATATATTTTCCACAAATTTCTATACTAATGGCATAAGAGAATTCTAGATGGTATAAGAGAATGTATTAACTTATTCTATATAAATTTTCTGGTGCTTTAACTTGAATAACCACATCCTATTTATGAATGTATATCCTGGGTGCTAAGTAATGCTTATATGCATATATACACTCACTGGTGCATGTAAGGGGCTGCGGTTTAACAAAGTTCTTTCTCTTTTCTTCTGTTCGTACGATAGGATAAAATATGCGGCATTATCCTTCTCTCGCAGTCTTAGTGCGAACTCAGGCAACGATACGGTGGTACATTATTGTCCGGGAACAGGCTCGGACTCTCAAGAGATCAATTTTTCGCCAGACGGCTGTATTATCAGCAATAATTCAACTCAACCAGCATGGAGAACAAATTATCCCGGTGATTACAAAGACCAAAATCTCAAACCAATCTGCACTCAAGATCTTTTATCTTATGCCTTTCAAGTGGCGCGTGGAATGGAATATTTAAGCCAAAGAAGGGTAAATTATTTGACATAATCGAATAGTTATAAAATTAGTAAAATTAATTGTAACAAATTTAAATATATTTTAATTAATAATAAGCATAATGAATAAATATATAAGACGTTAGAATTATTGTAATTTAAAACAAAGTAAAAGTTTTTATGTGCAACATTAAATTAAAAAAAAAAAAATTGTAAACTACATTTAAATATTTGTATATTAGAGTTTTCAAGGCTTTCATATTAACAATATATTTTTTATATATTACCAGGTATTGCACGGTGATCTTGCAGCAAGAAATATTTTGCTTTGCGAAAATAATGTAGTAAAGATTTGCGATTTTGGCCTCGCAAAGACAATGTACAAAGATGATAATTACAAGAAAAAAGGTGATAGTCCATTGCCTATAAAATGGATGGCCATCGAATCGATCAGAGATCGAATTTTTTCGACACAATCCGATATATGGTCCTTTGGTATAGTACTTTGGGAGTTCTTTACTCTGTCTGAGACACCGTACCACGGCATGGAAGCCGAAAAATTATATCAAAAATTGATCGAGGGCTACAGAATGGAGCAGCCAAAATATGCCATTTGCGAAATTTATGAAATAATGATTCAATGCTGGAAAGCTAAACCTACGTTACGCCCAAGTTTCACAGACCTCGCGGAGAGCATTGGTAATTTATTGGAGGAAAGTGTGAGATCGGTAAGTTATTTTTCATATAATATTATTATATATGTGTCATAATGCGAGAGATGCAATAATAAATACGTAAATTTTTCAAGAAAGCTATATAATACCAAGAAAGTTATTAATATAAAAAATAAGTAATCTGTAACGTATTTAAATTAAAAATATAATTAATTAAATCGTTTTGGCTTTCGATATTTTATTTAAAAAAATTAATATACTATATATTTACTATTACTTACTATACTATACTATATACTACTATTTAAAGCACTATTTGAAATTTTCTGTGAATAATTGCTGCATTTCAAGCAAGATACAACACATAACAAATTATTGATTTTCGTTTCAGCACTATATCAGTTTGAACACCCCCTATATGGATCTGAATTCGATGACTCTGGAGAACAGCAAGAACGATTATCTGACAATGATGTCCGCGCCGGATCACGTTGCTCTATCATCACCACATAATTACGCGAACTCACCATTCGCGGAGGGCGTCCCGGATTCCACGTATTTATGCATGAGTCCTAGCTGTCAGACTAACGAGTCTGGGATATTTAGCCCAAGACCACATGAGAATTGTTCGCATTTCGAGTTCCCGTCCCCCGCGTCAGACTCGGAGGATGCGATCGAACTGTCGCCCATGTTGAAGCACGAGGAGGACCCTTACCTGAAGCCGATTAATGTACAAGAACGAAGAGCAGAATTCGCGCGACAAAGACAAGCGATGAAGAATCAGGTAGCCGAGAGACCAATCGATCGAGATTCCGGTTATTGCAACGCGCCGCGAAATCTTCATCTGATAGACCTGAACGATGTAGATGAAAATGACGCGACTGAGCAAACAAACGTGGACTCGAGGAAGGATTATGCGCCATCCATCATCAGTACTCAGGATAACTATGTGAACATGCCGAAACAAAAGAGCGACCTAAGATTGGGTGTGCCAGATGGCTTCAGTAATCCTAGCTACGTGATGATAAATACTCACGAAATGGACCAGAGAGCTTAATCCACTTATATAATGATCGCAATTATGTGTTTTGTGCATACTGAATCGTTTTAAAAACAGAATTCAATGTGACTTAGTGATTTATTTATAATTTTTTATTGAACTGATTTTTTCTACTATTATAGGTGTAATCGTATATTGTGATACTATCACGGAACATAGTATCTAATAATATAAGATAACATTTAATTTAGTAATTCGTGAAACGTCTCTTAATCAATGTGCCATGGTAATTAATATCAGCAAAATTGCATCTCAGTGAGAAGAAAAAAAATTTCTTATGAATATATGTATATCACAAAGAGTATAAAAAACATTCATTGTTAGTACATTCGCACTTATTATGTACAAAAATTTTAATTATCTTATTTTTAATATGATATATAGGTTTTTAATTTTTTAAATAATTTACATGTATATACGTATTTCCTCGTGGAAATGAAGTTTTATGAACAAAGATTTTATCGATAAACTGATGCACTTTCCGACTTTAAGAATTAACATTTTCAAATGTTACAATGCTTCCAATGTGGAAAATATATACGAGTTCAAAACATTAAATCAAACTATAAATTGTATATAAGTAAAATGATTAATTATCGACAAATTGTGCATCTGTATGATTATTGCATATGATTTATTTACTAATACTGAATGTATCGTAAAATAATCAAATTGTATCTCTTCTATTTTTTGTTTGCTGAAACTCTCTCTCTCTCTCTCTCTCTCTTTGGAATCTAAATACCCAATAATCAATATAGAAAGAATAGATTATATACATTAGTTTATACTTTAGATTATATAATAGATAATATTATAATATTATTACATTAATTTCTTTCTCGTTATTATAAAGTACAATATAGAATACTTAGATATAGAATACTTAAATAAGATATAGCATCTGATAAGGAATTTATTTTTATCACGATTTATTTAAAATATTAATATTTTAATTTTTAACTTCTATTTTATCGCAAAAATTATATTCACGTGTGCAAGACTTAATTTTTTCTATTTTCTTTTTTTGTAAAATATGCAAATTGTAAAAAATTTTAAAAATTGCATAATATTAGATTATCTATTTTATAAAATAAGATACAAATAAAAAAATCTCTCGTCAGTCTGTACTTAATACTCATAATACATTTACACTTTGCTTTATAAACATGATATATGTATATGTTGACGTAGAATATCTAATTATCTAAAAATTTAGAAAATTATCTTAAAAAATCAGCCATACTAACCCTTCGACTGAATACGTGGATCGTTAGCGTATGAGTCAAAAGAACATTTACTTGTGTCTGTCAATTCGTTCAACAAATGCCTTTTTATAGCAGCAAATTTGCCTGATTGGCTCCCCTCTTTAAAATAAAAAAATTTTATCAAAATAACTGTGAAATCATCAACTGCAATGTAGATAGACGTTTTATAAGTTTTTCCATATTTTTTCAAATACTTTAAAATGAGGAAAAAAGTTTTGATTTATTTATAGAAATAAAATGCTGAAAAAGTATTCAGTATTTTTTCAAATACTTTAAAATGAGGAAAAAAGTTTTGATTTATTTATAGAAATAAAATGCTGAAAAAGTATTCAGTCGGAAGATTAAGCTGAAAACAAGTTTTTGTACAAGCATGAAATATATAAGAAGGGAATGTAAAAAATACTTTCGTGTTTTATTTCTGCATAAAAAACTTGAATAACGATCTTATTTAAATAAAATATATCATTTTGACATAGTCTGAAGACGGCCAAGGTCTGTCATGAATCATAAAGAAGTACGAGCATGTACTCTTTAAGGTGATGCGTAACAAGAAACGCTGAGAGAAATGCTTCCAACGTCAAGTGCACGAAGAAATACGTATATTGCAAGCAGGACAAGGATAATATTATAATATTATAAACATTATCCACATGTTCACCTTTCGCACATGTGCATCACCTACATATGTATATTTATTCTCTAATATCAACATCTCTAGAGCTTAAACAATAATAATATATATAGTTAATTACTTTATTGCATAATTTTTTAATTGTATATATAATTTCGATAATCATTATTTACTTATAATTTTTTTATTTGTAATTTTTATACTTTATCAATCTTAATCATAATATAATCGTGTAATTTGAAATAATATATTGATTCGCTAAAAATCGCAAAATGATTAATTATATTTTTGGATCTATCTCATCTGTAATTCTGATAGAATACGGTACGTCGTGTATCGTTGTGTTGTTACGAAAACGACCACGTCGTTTAATAACATCTTCAATTAAATTCTGTTTGTATGACATCCATCTGAAATGGAAGCTCGAGTAGTATAGCAATAATTTGTGAATTACTAATTGATAATTAGAAGAAAAAAACACAAATATTTAATACAATTTATCGTACTTTCGATTTAGAAGAAATTCGTTGAATAATTGCTTTTTAGTTGGATATTTTGAGTCCATGAACAATTTTACACGTCCCCAAATATTAGCACGATTGTGCTCGAGCAACCAATATCGGGGAATAAGAAAACATTTTACAGGCGTAATCGCTACGATTCTCCGATTAAGCATTTTCTCTCCTAATTTAATTAATTTATTAAATTATAATACTGGGGATGGTAGAGAAAGAAAGATATCGAATCATTTGTCTCTCACCTAAACCGAAACATGCACCTCGAGAGAAAGTGCATACTTGCATAAATATAGTACGAACGTCATTTGGATAACGTAACTGAGATGTAACTGATGATTCTCGCATCAGCATCGCCGCGACCTCAGTAATTTCGTGCCACCCTTTAACCTTGATTTTTCAATATCTATTAATATACGCAACTTCTCAACTATCCTAAATTATAATAACGAATCGAAATTTATTTGCACGCGTAATCATTTTACTTCAATATACTTGATTATTCAATAATTGACTTCAGTCAATTATTATATCAATTCATTATTTGGCTTAGCATTTTAATGTAATAAATTATAATTTCACATTGCACTGTAATATAATTCGATGTATCGCAATTCTATATACTTACGTGGGAAAAAAATGTATTGTACTCGCTCAAAAATGTACTGTACTAAAAAAAAATTATATTGTACTCACAACGTCCAGAAGAGTAGTAGTAACAATGCTTAATCGATCAACGTCTGTGTGCGTGTTGGTAGATTTCTGTAAAAATAAAAAAAATCAATGAAATACATTGTACAAATGTTTAATTGATAATAACTGAGATATAAGAAAATGTTTTTCTAATAATTACTAAAATTGCACATAATTTTCCACAAAATATTAAGTTGTTCGGAAAATAATGCAGGTTTCTACATTATATAATGCATTATTTTTCGAATAACTTAACATTCAAGTTGCATATAATAAAATATGTAAAACTTATGCAAAATACTCTTGTACTTTTAACAATAAGTTTACGCAATAAACTACATTAATAACATAAAAGATAGGTGCGCATAAAAAATAAACTATCCTATTCTTTATAAGCTTGTGTGAGCGAAACTTAATTATTTAAAATGCTTTTTTTTGTATTAAAAATTAATGATGCGTTTAAAGATCGGAAAGCTGGAAAGCATAGCTTCTTAATTTCTTTTTATAATACTTGTACTCGATTAAATTTATAATCCAATTCAGGTAGCTTGTCAGATTTCGCAATCTTTTTTGACACTTCTTTTGGTTGTTGTTGCGGGCCCGAAAAATTTTCATATAATTCATATTGTGTTCCATGATAAGAAGGCCGTTCACGGACGAGCATATGTTCGATAAGGCGGCATTCGCCACTTAAAACAAAATGCACGTAATTCACCATGCCTGTTCCATCGCCTAAAAGAACCTTTCAAATTAATTAATATTTATTATTACTATCTCTCTTTTTGTGTGTATCCTATACTCTTTTACTGGATTTGTATTATATAATCGAGATCCTGAAGAACGCGCGAAAATAATCGAGATTTTTCTCTGTAAAATTCTTATTAACATCGCCACTTTATTTACCTCGTTAGGCTTAAAGTCTTTCAGTTTGCTTAAGATGCAACACTCTCGTACCGTTTCTTCGTCCCACGCTTTGAAATAATTGAAATGAACTAACGCGTCGCGCAAAACATCCCATTTTTTCGTCAAGACATCACGCAAGATGTTGTTAAAATCGTTTCGTGTAATTAGAAGCAAATCGACTGATGCTAAATAATATTTGTAAGAGAAAATAATGTAAATTTTAATCTAAAGAATATATCATATCGAGTCCATGATTCGCTTTTACTAACTTTTGGTAACCACAGTTGATGTTCTCGGTATCGTATGGAATAATGCAACTTCGCCAAACATATCTCCTGTTTGCATGATTCCCATATCTATAGTTTTCTCATCACCTAATAAAAATATTATATTGTACAGCTTTTCATATTAATTTTATATCTCTTCATATGATTTATGTGTACAGAATGATATCTTTTCCAAGTTAATTAATTTTAAAAAAGTTATCAAAATAATCATGACGCAATGTCTTAAATTGTCGATAAGAGAGTTAATTCGGAAATTTTTTCTTGAATATTACGTAAAATATAATGGAGAATACATTGCGTTATACTATCGGGAATTTTAATATAGAAATATAAAAATCGTGCATGAATCAGCAAACGTTGCAATTCACATTCGATGTAAAGTTAATTTTAAATTATCTGGTTTGATGCATTTTATTGGATTTTAACGTCTAAGAATATGTGCAATATTTTGTGCCGCTATTTTCCTCACCTGTTAATTCGTCGATCGCAACTCTCGACAGACTGACTTCGCCATTCGCGATAAAATAAAGATTTTCTGCCCTATGACCCTGCCGAACAATTACGCGACCAGCTGGTAAATACTGATAAATGCATACCGCGGCTAAACTTTCTCTCAACTCCTCCGCATGCTTCGTGAATGCGCGCAACTTTTTAATAAGATCATATATGTATGCTTTGTCGGTGGAGGATCTTTCAATCAGGTGCACTAGTAGTATTGATCGATCCTTAAATTAGCAATAAATTATTTATGCATGTTACAAAGTTTTGATATTTTTTAAATTTACTTTTAATAAGTGTCACGCACGTATATGCTTGCTCGAGTACCTCTAACGTAAGTAATTTCTTCTCTACTCTTTGTTTTTGTTGTGCCATTTTGATATTAATCGTTACATCGTCGCTAATTTCTTCGATTATCGATATCTCTGTTATCCATTCCATATATTCTAAAACGCGTCGCACCGCTGATCGAAATAAATAACGACCTTTTAATCTCTCAGCCTAAATAAAGATATATAAGAATGAAGATATTCGCACTCAGTTTTTTTTATGTAAAGTATTTAGTTAGATGAATTTAATTATATTAATCTAGTTATATAAATTTAATTTAGATACTTCTTATATCTATAAATATTAATTAATTATTTCTAATTATATATATTTCTAAGTCATTATATAAGTATAACTATAGTAAAGTATAGTAAACTATAGTAAAGTATATTATATAAGTATAACTGTATAGTATATAGTTACATTTTTTGTAGCTTATATAAAAAAATGTTTTAGATACAATTTTCTGCTTCTTATCTTTAAAGATGAAGTACTTAAATGCAAATTTAAGTATATCTTATGTAAATTCATAATTCATGACTTTTTCATACAATATAAATATATATATATTTTTTTAAACAAAAAAAACTTAAATGTTAAAAAAATTAAAATCGATAGTTTAAATTGCGTTGACGTTGTAAAAGAATGAATAAAAATATATTTTGCTACTTATATAAAATAAAATGTCCTATTTTTTAAATGGAAAAAATGAAAGAAAACTGAATAAAAACATTTTGATCAAATAAATTATTGAAAGCACAATATCCAATATGACAAAAAAGAATAGCTATTAGTAGAAGCAAAATATATTAAATAATTAATGAAGTTATATTATCTCATATAAAGTATATATACTTTTCTATTCATTTATGCATATTCATTTTCTATTCAATGTATTCTATTATTCATATTTATAAAGTAGTATAACATAAATTTGAGAAAAATCTAAAATATCTCTTTTACAATTTAAATTATTGTATCTATATCTAACTATTTATTTCAAATTTGCATCTAGTCATACCTAGTTATATTTTCTTTTAAGATATCTGCATCTAAATATTGATTGCAAATGCTAAGCTCAAATAACACAATGCGTGCACAAAAATTTAATAAAAATAGAAAAAATATCAAAATTATATATTTTATTTTTGAATTCTAGTTCTAAATTATTAAAATATTTTGTTCAAAATAAAACAAATTCATTAATTAGTTATAGACAATTATAAAACAAAAATATATATCTATTAATAAATTGGTATACAGTACACATAAAGAGAATTTTCTTTTACAATAGAATTTATTATTTACCCTATAAAAATTATGATAATCATGGACAATATTGAAAGAATTTTACAAAGTTTCTCTGATTAATATTTACCAAAATAAAAAATATTTATATCTACCACAATAAGATATAAAATATGTTCGATTACTTTTACTATGTATGTAGTAACATTTACTGTGTACATACATATTAATATTTTTTGTGGTAAATATCAGAGAAACTCTTATAAAATTCTTCTAATATCATATTATTCTATGATTACCATGATTTTAAGGATCAATTCTATGAAAAAATTCTCTCATGTATAACATAATCAGTTTATTATAATTAATTATCGAATTAACCTTAATTATAACAGTAACATCATTTTTCATTATTAATAAATATTACCACGCAATTATTTATTTTGTGCATTTTATTTAAAATATTATATAAACATAAATTAATATTTTAAATAAGAATGTTATTGCTGTATTATATAAATGTGTAATGTTATTTGCACAATTATAAAGAATCTCTTTTTTGGTACATATTATAAATTTCTTAAATCTTTGCAATGGAAAATTTTTTATCCAAAATTTCAAATAATATATATGTATTTGAAGCGAAATTCTATGAAACATTATAGAAATACAGATTTTCTCACTCTGGTGATTAACACACTCTTCCTTGGCAATAATTTATATGCGAGCGATTGTCGCAAGGAACTTCTTCTTGCTGTATATAACGACATTATGTCAATAAAAAATATATATATAAAATTTGGATCGCCTATAAATATGAACACTATCAATTTTTTATCTTTGCAAACAGATATTACTATCTAACGAAGCACCAACTGACATTAGTCGGACTAACAACTGACTTGTTTAATCGATCGTTTATATCGTATTGTTCTGCGGCGCCACCATATATATATGATTAATAGTGCCTTTATTTCCTTATATATTTGAACTCTATTTTTATTCATGGTAGTTGATGTTAAATTAAAAGCAATAAAACTTATTGAAGGCTGCTTTTATCTCATTGTCAGCCGTAATAATAATTGTACTTTCGGATATATATATATATATCACGGATTATTCGCTATAATAATCGAACAATAAGATTCTTTAATATGGAGAAGCTTTTTTGTTATGAAAAAATAAATTTATAAGAATGAATATAATAAACGTTAAAAAAAACTTTAGTTTCTACAATTTGTTGTATTTTTTCTTCTAGCTATCTTCTAGCTATATTCTAGCTATCTTTAAAAGTTGTTGCCATACAATTTCAATATATATATTATTATTATTGAATATATATATATATATATAGTAGAAATTCAAGGTTATACTTAATTCCAAACATTGTTTGAGATAAAATTGAAGTTTGACATATTTTTGTCAATACTGTGCATTTGCTTCTACTTTTTTGATCTAATTGTCGTGTTAAAGTATCTGTGCCAATTTAATTAATGTTTGAATTCTTTTGAACTCACCTCTCGATAGGTGTTTTGTGCAGATATAATGCGTGAAAACGCAATATCAATAACTACTCGCAAAATGTAACACAAACGACACTAAATCTTCACTGGTACGAATTACACACTAAATCTTCACAATGATAAATAAAGACGAAATCAACTCAAAGAAAATAGAAAATGTACACTCTCATCTACGATACACGCGCCATTTTCGAGCACAAGTGGTTTCGAGTCTAGAAATGTTCATGAAGCATTGATAATAATTCTAATAGATGTCACAACTGCTATATATTTACGGGCACAAGTTTGACCAAACTTTCGGACACGCTGATTGGCTGATACCGCAAGGAACTTTCGACGCCCTAAAAATTCTCTAGTCGATAGCCAATCAGAATGTCCGACCTGTCATACGAAAAATGTCAAAATGTCACTTTACTCGAACTCGAACGTCGATTGCGAATCCAGCCAAAGGTGACTCTTGACGTATTCGTGGATTCGTAATAATTCCTTGCTCGTGTGAATTGTTTTGCCAGTTTATTCTTCTACGCGAATTTTTAAGCGAAAAAAATGGTAATAATTGATATTCTCCATATGACATGTTTATAATGTATAAATAAACTATTAATTTTAAAATTATTTTGTGTAATTCATCACGTATGAGTTGGGCGACAGGTTATGTTGACAATGACAGTCAACTTTGCTTGCTTTTATTTAAATTTTATTATATTAAATCTTAATAAATGTCATGCACAATAATAATTAAGAATATAAATCGTACTTGTGCTATATTATATAAAAATAGTTTATTACATAGTTTTCAAGTCATTGCCAAAAATCTTGTCAATTTTCTGTCATGTTAAGAAAAAGCTTATTTAATATATTATATGAAACTTATTTTAATTACAATTATTATTTTAGAGTTTCGGCTTGCCATCACTCATACCGAAGTCTACTGTACCTGAGAAATTTGACATTAAAGGTGGAACTAATTATGGTGTACCCAATCCCATGATATCAGGGTATGAGAACATACTATCATTAAAATTAATTGATAAACGAAATAATTAAAAAATAAATCTTCCTCTTATGCTTTAAAAAAAAAATTCATTAGAAAATTAAAATTTATTTTTCTTATTATATAGTATGCTTTATAAAATGACTTCAATAATTTATGACTATTTCTAATTTATTTTTTAGTCGTTACTAATGTTTTTTTCCGTTTAGTTTGTCAGCAACTAGACAAAGCATTGGTCATGCACATCCTTTGGAAGCTTCAGAAAAAAATGTAAGATTTCTTGTATTTCATTAGTACCCTAACTGAATAATCTGGACCATTAAATGGTAATTGCTTTATTTATTTCAGTATGTGAAAAATCAAGATCGCATGAACATGATATTGCTTAGGAATACACAAGGCTTACATGCACCATTGCGCATGGCGATGGAATTGAAAGCCACAGAAAAGATTGGAAGACTTCCATTTCTATCATCATCCAACATGATGCGAGATGTCTTGCTTGGACGAGATCAAGATATAGGGTAAGATGTAAATTTATAATTATTTTTCCATTAGAATCAATTTATATAAACAGAGAATTTTTTCATTTATATTGTTATTTTAGATTTGAAGATATTTTCAATACTCCGGAATTCAGAGAACAAATGGGACAGCCACATGCTGTTGTAGAAAATCATCTTGGAATATTATAAGAATTAAGCATGCAACAATTGCGTCTTTTAATAAAAATGCAAATTAATATAGAATTAATAAGAATTATTAATAAACACTACTTTTTATAAGTTACATAAGTATATATCTTTTTTCTTTTTTAAAAATGTTTCAATAACGGTAGCTTAAATACCGAATGCAAAAAAATTAATAAAATCGAATACATATTTGTTATATATATATCTGTTCCAAATGACGTTATTTAAAAAAAAATATTAATTTAACAAATAAAATATAAAAATATTTAACAGTGAGACAGATGTATTCATTTTTTTAATTATTTCGTTTATCGCTTACAATAGATAAAAATCAAAATAGTTTACTTGACATTTTGACTTTCAAAACAGTGTTTTGCAAGTATATGCCATGTTGTTATCTCGATATACACTTAGTTGAAGCTTCATTTAAAAATGGCCACAACGAGAGAACAAACCAAGCATTAACAATTCTGTTTCAAGCAATCCAGGTGTTTCCCGATTATTTATATTATTTGACAGCCGACTGTATAGAATAAACCTCCTTTACTTTATCTCAGGTGAGTGTTTGTGCGCGACAAAAAACGCATTCGCCCTAACCTTAAGATAACTTTAAGAGGATCAGCAGAGAGAATATTTCAAAGTAAAATAAACAATAAACAGGGAAAAGTAATATTTTTCTCTTCTCAGAACGTGCAGTAAATCTAAAGAAACGTAACACTCATCATCTATCAAATGTCATCGACGACGACGTCAACCGTCAGGGTCCTGGACGGCGGCTTCTCCGGACAGCTGTCACGTCACGTGGGAGCGAAGATCGACGGCGATCCATTGTGGACGGCGCGATTCCTCGCGACCGATCCTGAAGCTGTGTATTCTACGCACCTGGACTTCCTGCGTGCCGGCGCCAATGTCATCGAGACCAACACTTATCAGGCATCCGTGCCCGGCTTGATGAAGAATCTGAATATGAGCGAACGCGAGAGCCTGGATCTACTTGCCAAGGCCGTGGGCCTGGCCAAAAAGGCCGTGGATGTTTATACTCAAGAAACGGATAAGACTGAGAAACCACATGACACAAATCCTGTAGTGGCTGGCTCCTGCGGTCCTTACGGTGCTTATCTGCACGATTACTCCGAGTATTCTGGTTCCTATGGGAAGTCGGTGTCTAGACAGGAGCTGATCGACTGGCACAGACCACGGTTTCAAGCTTTACTGAACGCTGGTGTAGAGATCCTAGCTCTGGAAACTATACCCTGCGTGGAGGAAGCAGAAGCTCTGCTAGAACTGCTGCGAGAATTTCCGCACGCTCGTGCCTGGGTGTCATTCTCCTGTCGAGATGGTCAGCTGTTGGCAGACGGCAGCGTCTTCCAGGAAATAGCTGTGCGATGTTACCAAGCCTTGCCATCGCAGATCCTTGCGGTTGGTGTTAACTGCATCGATCCGAGTTACGTGACTCCCTTGCTAAAGGGAATCAACGGGAGTGCATCGTCGGAGGCTTTCGTTCCTCTGATAGTGTACCCTAACAGAGGCGGTAGCTGTTCCGAGACCGGCAACTGGACCACAGTTCCGGATGATCATTCCTTGAATCTACCTGTATCAGAATGGTTGGACATGGGAGTTCGTTACATCGGCGGTTGCTGCAAGATCTTCGCGGAAGATATAAAAGCGATTCGATCGGAGGTCAACCAGTATTGCGCAAAAATCACGTAATTCCTCTTTTAACCGCTGATGCAATGATCTCCCCGAAATGATGCGCACTTTTAGATATTAAATCACTATGATTGTACTATGATGAAAGATAAGCGCGTGTTTATCATTAACTGCGAGTTTAAAAACATTGAAGCTGATGTAAAGTAATTGTATATTGTATGTATGATCATTGTAATATGAAAAGTAGTGTGATTGTGATTATTGATGCAATTGCATTATCATCCGTTTATAAAAAATGGACATAAGTAATCGATATCAGTGCAATATTTTATAATTTTATATTAATATATATTTCTATTTGAAAAGATATTACATTATATATATCTTTTTTTAAACAGAATTATATATTTATGTATTTGAAAAAGTATCATATAGACAAAATTTTTAATTAATTTTTTACGTCGTGTATTCTGTTCAAAACATGTAATTTTTTCTTATTTTTGCTTTCAAAAACATGTCAAAAATAAGACAGAATTTACAGCTTTCTAACATATGATGACTATTGATAACAATTTATCATGATCAAACAATCACTACACGTAAACATTATTATCTTTTTTGGATGACTGTCAAAATATGCATCCTCTGTTGCATTATTTTTAGATTGCATCATACAGTTTACAAATTTGTGTTCCGTGAGGTCAAAACAGTTTATTTATAGAAAAGGAGAGAACTGTAGATAAATATTAATTGGATGGATATCTCCAGACAAAATATTTTGTTGTCGCAGTATCATTTTGTCCTCTCTCGTATCATCGACTTTTCTTTCTATCTATACAAATGCATAAGTACCTGTTAATAAAACAATCATGTTACATCAGCGATAGATAAGCACGTGACAGATGATCTAGAGCACATGCGCAATAGGCAATACGGAAGATGAAGTCTTATCACTAATCCTTGTTTATCTTATTTTCGTCTCTATTTTTGTCACTGGTGACACGCACTTGGTCGATGATAAACTATCAAAATATAGCTACTGCGATAACGGCAAGTCATACTCGACGCAATTGCTCAGCAGCAATAAGATTCGTGTGAGCTGGACCAGCTCTTACTTTTTCAAGTATACAATCTCTGTACATATTAACATAAGAGAATTTCGCATCAATTGTGTACGACATCGACCAGATCTCACGGAATCAAATTTGTACAAAAAGAGGAAATTATGTCACAAATCAAAGTGCTGGATGCTGGCTTCTCTACGCAGTTGTCCACCCACGTAGGCGAGAAGATCGACGGTGATCCATTGTGGACCGCACGCTTTCTTGTGACCGACCCGAATTCAGTCTTTGCTACGCATTTAGACTTCCTGCGAGCCGGTGCCGACATCATCCTGACGAATACGTATCAAGCTACGATCAACGGTTTCGTCAAATACCTGAGCGTCACCGAGGAAGAGAGTATCGAGATCATCCGCAACGCCGTCGATTACGCTAAAGACGCTGTAAATGTTTACAGCAAAGAGATAGAGGACGACGCGACGAATCGGAAGCCACTAATCGCTGGATCCTGCGGACCTTACGGTGCCTCCTTACACGACGGCTCGGAGTACACCGGCTCGTACTGCCCGGATGTGTCGCGAGAATTTTTGATCGACTGGCACAGACCTCGTATACGTACCTTGCTGGAAAAAGACGTTGATTTATTGGCGATAGAAACCATACCATGTGTACATGAGGCAGAGGCAATCATCGACTTGCTCAAGGAATTTCCAGATGCCCGTGCATGGTTGACCTTCTCCTGTAGAGATGACGGGAAGAGTCTAGCGGATGGCAGCAACTTCCAGGAGATCGCCGTAAAATGTTACAAGAATTCACTCCCAGGGCAAATATTAGCAGTCGGCATTAATTGTATCGCCCCGCAATACGTTACCACCTTGTTGAAGGGCATCAATCGAAACAGTTCGGACGATCTTATACCGTTGGTGGTGTACCCTAATAGTGGAGAAAAGTATGTAGTATCTGAAGGGTGGAAGAAGGAAGGGGAGGCTCCGTCTTTGCACGAATTTATTGACGAATGGCTGGATCTTGGGGTCTGCTACATCGGTGGATGCTGTAGAACATATGCTACAGATATAAAAAAAATTAGATCCAAAGTGGATCAGCGGCAAACACAACATAGAGATATATGAACTTTGCATTGAAAGTGCCTATTTCATGTTTTCCATGACAATAAATTAACAATGCAAATCGTGCCATAAATACAAAGCAAACTGCTTCGTATTTTTAATTATGTGCCATATTATCAAGATTTTAATAATTTTTTATTTTGCAAAGAAAATAATTGTTAAATATAAATCAAACATTATTAATCTGATAAATGTACTCTATATGTTTTACTTATTAAAAAAAACTATTACATAAAGATCTTGTAGTTTTTCTTTTTCAGATTACAAAAAATATATTACATTAATATTGAGCCTCAATTGCTTAGATCTTAAGTGAATTTAAAGTAAGCACCAAAATGATATCTTATTTTAGAAATTCCTATTATTTTTGAGTTTTATTATTTTTTTAAATGATATATATATATATATATATATATATATATATATATATATAATGTATTATAATTTTATTTTTGCAAATATACACATTGAAAATAATAATGCATATATGTATATAACAAATGTCAAAGTATTTAAAAAAATAATATAAAATTCTTGAATATAACTAAATCCAATGTACTTCTAACAATTTCAAATAGCAAATGACAATGACACAAATAAATGAAAACATAATGACATGCACAAATAAAATATAAAAAATTGTGAATCTGAGATTATAAGAAACCTCACTTTAATATCTAAAAGTTAATAAGATATAAAAAAGTATTTAAAATAAAGTATGTTCTTTTCTTTTTATAAATGCACAATAATTATTTTAGCAAATACTGTTTTATAAATTTATCAATAACTTTATATATTTAAAAAATCAATAATTGTTTTTTTTTCATTGTTTCACAAATAATTGATTATACATACTTACATAATAATATATTTTTTTACTGAAATCAAATCTACCGCATTTACTTTTCCAAAGATTTATCAATATATATTAAGTATTCGCCTACTGAGTATGTATTATCTTCAGCAACACTGATTTCAATACTTTTTGTTTTTGCATTTACATTAAATACAGCATTAGGTGGAATTTTAGTTTTCCCCTTTAAAATATTATCTGATCTTGGTTTACTTCTTGGTCCCAAAATTGGGTCATCATACCGATATAATTCGATGGAACCAGGATTTAGATCTACATGAATATAATTAATGTAAATTCTATAATTAAATTAAATTACTAATTATGCAGAAATTGTTATTTACCTTTTCTGTGTTTATGTTTTTTAATGATATATGACACAATATCTTCAGTTGTATTGTCTTCAAACGAAATCTTCATAGGTATTTCAAATAAACCACTATAAAATTGTGGATTACTTATCCATATTTGGAATATAGGCTTTGCAGAAAAACTCATGTATGGAGCCCCTGGAGAACATCCTTCTTTTGTCTTCTCTGAAGCTTTATCAGTATATTTTATAATAATATACTCAAGCTGAGAATAAATAAAAAATAAGAATATAATATACATTAACAAACAAATAAATCGAAAATTATATAGCAATATATTGCTTACATCTAATGTTTTTTCAAGATACTTCTTATTCTTTTCAAGTACATCAAACTCGTCAAACTCAAGGGTCAAATCTAAAGCATTAATGCCAATAACTTTCATTTTATCCTTTATAAACTGCGCGAATGGCATTACTTTTTTCATATATTTTTTTAATTCATCTTTGTTTCCTAGTTCTGTGACAAGTTCTTTATTAGCTGGTAATGCATTCCCATTTTTCTGCAATATATAAATAAAAATATTAATGGACGAAAATTAATTATCGCGTTACCGAATAAAATATTATAGCGACTTACAAAATACAGTTCTTTCATTGTCGTAAGGACAATATTTTGCCAAGGAAGATAAGTTTTAGCTATCCATATAATTCCTTGCTTAGCTTTCTCATTATTCTTTGATTTCTTCATTAATATATTAAAATTTTTTAGAAGATTTCTGAATGTATGAGCAGTTTCCATTAGATATTCGGATGATTTTATTAGAATTTCATCAATTTTTTCAACAACAGGCCATTTTTCAGCGAATATGCTATTCTAATAAATCACATTCAATTATGTATCTATATAAAACAATATAAATATTTACTTTAACACTGAAACTTACATTTTCAGAATGCATTACATTTTTCCATATATGTTCACAAACATGTGGACAAATGGGAGATAACATAATTGTTTGAAGTTTTATAAATTTCACAATAAGATTATGATTGCATCTCTCCATTTCACTTAACTGCAAATATTTATCTTTAGCTGCTTGCATTTCATAAAATCCTGTTCTTAATGCTTCCTTGAAAAGCGTTTTCGAATAATTTTCACCTGTTTCCCGTAGTTTCAAATTCATTTCGCTGTATTAAATAAATGTATTATTATATGCTTCAGTTCTATCTTATCATGATCAAACAAAAAGATAATGTAAACGAAGCAAATACCTATCAAAAACTTGGTCATGGAAAGTATACGGTCCTTCAAATCTGAAGTTTGTGTGTGTTACTTTATCATATACATCTTTAACCCAAGAAATATAATTATGTAGTTTAAGAATTGCTGTATCAGCTAAATTTTCAACAAAATTTGCATCTTCTATTGAATCACCAGAATCAGCTAAACAGAAACGCGTTCCATCAGCCGAGAATCTTTCTATAGCTTCGGCAAGTGTTAAAAAATTGCCTTCTGACTTGGACATCTGTGTGTTGAAATATAACAATTAAAATTTTACACAAAAAACGTTATTTTAAGATTAATGATTATACACATTACTTTTGCTGAATTTAGAAGCAGGTGACCGTTTGCTCTTATTCCTTTTGGCCATAATTCAGGTTGATCTGGCCATATTGCTGTATGATTGTAAAGATAATATGTTAAATGATTCTGTATCAAATCTTTTCCCGATACTCTCAAATTTACTGGATACCAATATTGAAACTCATTTCTCATTTCATCTAAAATTTTTTTATCTATATTTGTGTTTTCAGGAAAGCCAACGTCTTTGAAGAAGATATAATCCCATACTTCTGGAGTCATTTGACAGGCTCTAATAAGAAACAATTAAATGTTATAATTGTAAATAAAAAAGTATATAATTCTAAATAAAAAAAAATTTCATACGTATTACTTGTAATCATGCTCACTCTATTTTATATTTATTAGGTTTGTGTCCTTTAAGATCTCCTTGCAAATAATGTGCTATTGTATAGTAGGCCATGTAAATAGTGGAATCTGATAAAGATTCGATTAACCAGCTTTCATCCCATGGTAATTTAGTACCTAAAAAATTCGGGAGTCAAAAGAGTAGTTCTATTAACAGGAAATAATTCTTCATCATATATTTACCAAGTCCATATTTTCTAGAACATGCATATTCATGTAACCAGTCAAAACTTGCAAGGAAATTTTTTCTAACTTCATCATGAAAGGTATCAAGATTCTTTAAAGCCCCAAGTGTTTTTTCTTTCCATTTCTCTTCACCATAATCCAAGTACCATTGATCACATAGAGCTACTACACATTCATCATTTGATCTCGAAATAATAATTTTCTCGGGTTCATAATAAATAACTGCTTTATTACACTCAACTAATTCTGTTTGAATTATTTTCTTGACATCCTGTACTTTTTTGCCTTTATATGGACCTACTAATACTACACCATCATAAAATCCTTTCAAATATGCTATTTCCTTCGCTTTCATGAGTTGGATTTTATCATTTTGAGATTGAATCTTAAATTGGTCATATAATGTTACTGCTATTAAATTGCCAAACTCTGGAACTTCTATTATGGGAATCTAATACAAGAAAAATACAAGTTTTATATCATTCTTATCTATCTTAGCTTAGTCATTCAAAATTAAATAATTAACGTTATTCTTACTGGATCATATGGCAGCACCATCTTATCAGCAATTTTATACTTTTCTCTAAGTGCCTTTTTCTTTTTCAGATCTACTAATGCAGCATAATCATCGGGAGAATCACTAGGGACGGAAGTTACAATTCCAGTACCCTTGTCTTCTTTTATAGTCAACATAGGTAACGCATAGATCACCTTATTACTTGTAAGAGGGGCTTCCAATGCTATTCCTAGTAAATCCTACAAATATACTTTTTATTTAAAAATCTAAAAATATAATTAATATCAATTATATAAATAAATAGATCGCACTTTGCCCGTAAGATGTTGAACAATATCTATTTCTCCTTCTTTTTTGAAGAAACCTTGATAGGCCATATTTCTCGCCGCACGTTCTGTAGAAATATATATATCCCCACATGCTAAATTATATGCTATATAATTCATGTCTGGGTGTACCCAACAATTTGTTTGACCATACATTGTCTCTGGTTTCAAAGTTGCAGCTACGAGATAAACTGATTTATCACTGTTTTCAAATTTATTTCTGTAACAATATTTTTATATCTGATCAAGTTTGTCTAGTAAAAAAATATAAATAAATTATATAAAAATAATATAAAAAATATTACATAAGATTTTGAGGATTGAGTACTTTCATCTTGATCAATGTATATTCTCGTGGTCCAACGCCTTCACCAGATGATCTATCATGGTCCATACAAGGTTGCCCATCTTTTGGTGAATAAATAGTGTACCTCTTTCCATATTTCACTTTATTTCTACGTTTCAAATGCTGAAATTGCCAACGTATAAAAGAATCATAAAATGGGTTCACATCTGTTGTAATAAATGACCTTCGCCAATCCACCTATATAAAACATTTCGAAGATACAGAAAATACAAAAAAAATGAGCAAAACAATAATTATTTCATTTTATCTTACATGGACACCAAGAGCTTTCGCATCTTGTATAGCAAACTGTGGAAAGTAATCTAACCAATATAAGCTATCAACAAAATTTTTAATTTCTTCATCTTTTAAGCCAAGGGATTGCATAATTTTCCATTGATATGCTGAACCTGCTTTGGCAACTGCTTTACTCTAAAATTTATATTAATTAAGTTATATCTCTTTTGAAAATGTCTGTGCCATTGTATTAAAATTTTCTTTTTACCTTTTTTCCTTTACTCTTATCCTTTATTATATCATCATCCATATCTTCAATTTCGTCAGATTTTTTTTTATCTTTTACTATCTGATTATCTTCAGGAAATTTTGGTGGATAGCCAAATATTTCCATTTCTCTCTTTAATTTATCAGCACTTGCTTTAATAGGCATACCAGTGCAGTGAAAACCCAAAGGAAAGAGTACATTCTTTCCCAAGAGACGATTGTATCGAACGGCAAACTAACAAACATTTAATAGTTTTATTATACATTTTATATTTAAATTAAACTTAAAAAATATAAGTTAATACATGTGTGTAAAAAATATATATATATAGACAAAAAAGATATAGATATATACCTCAGCTTTTGATAATGAAAAAGCATGACCCAGATGGAGACGTCCATTCATATAAGGATATGGAAATGTTGCGAAAAATTTTTCATCAGATTCCTTAATTTCGTCCAATGTGTTCGTTTTATGCAGTTGTATAGCATCCCAATGCTGTTGTACATTTTTCTCAATTTCTTTAATGGCATTAAGTTTACAATATCGTTTCTCCTGCATAAAAAATATTACTTTTTCAGCAATTGATTTAATGTTGAGCAATAATTTACTTATAATGAAATAAAGACGTATCGAATAACATAATTATCTTATTTTATTTGACAATTCAGAAGTAATTGTAGATACCTGTGGACAGTGGTTAGGATACACATATGCGAATGTATTTTGTACTCGTATCATATTAATTATTTGACAAACATAGCAAATTTCAATTAATTAAATAGTGCAACGTTTATACTTACCATTTTGATCACACGTATATATATTCCACACAGAAATAATTAAATATTACATATGATGCGCACCGCACGACGTAAACACGTCACACACGCCTGAACTTAGAAACGGATGTGAACACATGTGCATATATCGATATATCGACTTATAAAAGGCGAAGTAAGGTATGTAAAAAAAAGAAAGAAAAATACTTACAAAAATTAAAATTAAAAATTATAAGTAAAATTTAAATTAGTTGACGAATTGCAAATAATACGGATGAAGAAGTATGTATGATGAAATAATTACAGTTATTATATGAGATAGTGCAATATGTATGAATAATTTCTATTATAAAAATACATTTTGATTGCTGAAAAATGATACAATTTTCTTTAAAATAAAAATGTTTATTAGACAGTTATTCATTTTTATACATATGTATATTTATAAATAATTTGAAATAAATATTACATAGGAAATAAAAACTAAAACTGATTAATTTATTATTAAATATTAATTTATTATTAAAATATTAGTACTAGAAATAGAAATTATGCGTATTATATACATATTGTGTAATCTTTTAAATTATAATTATGAGAACTTCAACACTAAATTTCAAAAAATTGTTTTATATTCGTTTTTTGAAAATACTTTATAGTTGTTTTATACTTTATCTGTTTATCTAATTAAAATACGCAAATGATATTTATATTCATTCCTTTACAGTTACACAATAGATTTAAACTTAGGAAAGCAAAATATTTTTCTAATTCCATAAATATGGTATAAAAGAAAAATAAAGGCTATAAATATTTTTTTTTAATTTCAATACAGACTTCAATACAAATTTCAATATAAACTTCAAACTACATTTTTTCTTATTCTTTGAAAAAATATAAATATTATGGTTCTTTTATATTTTATGTGATTAGAAAGTATAGTATTTTATATTCTTATGCCTTTACATTCGTGTAACAGGTTTTAAACCTAACAAAGCAAAGCATTTCTCCAAAACAAGTGCAGTAGCTTCTGTGAGCAAAAGACGTCCCATATGTACTTTTATAATCTCACCAGCTTGATTCTTTTCCACACAATAGCATTTATCGTAAAACTCTGTAAATGCGCATGATATTTCATAACAAAATTCGCATAACGGATGCAAGTACATATCTTCACTAATTTCAAGAATTATATCAGGGAATTTTAATAGCACTTTAGCTAGTTTCCATTCTTTTTCGTGCTCCAACGAGATTGGAGTGTCACGCGCGCATTTTTGTAATTCGTCTTGCGTGACTTTCGCTGTTCTAGCAATAGAACGAATTCGAGTTAAAGCATACAATAAATATACAGCCGTATTGCCTTTATCTTCTAACATCTTATCGAATGAAAATATATAATCATGATTTCTGTTGTGTGATAAATCGGCATATTTTATACAGCCGTATGCCACGGATTCTTGAGCCATTTTCAGTTCTTCTTCTGATAGTACTTTGTCGCGTTCTTTCTCTTTCAATTTTTGCAGTGTCCTCTTCAAACCTGGATAAAATAACATACAATAGTAAAATAAAGTAAAAAATTAAATTTATAATTAAGAACATTACCTTCATCTAATAGTTCGATAAGTTTTATAGTATCACCAGACCGTGTTTTAAATTTCTTCTTATCTTCACCTAGAACAACGCCAAAAGTAACATGATCCATCCTGTGGTGGTCCTTTAAGATCTCTGCTTTTTTAGCACAACTTCGTAATGTTTGAAAATGCAAAGATTGGCCAGCATCAGTCACATAAATCAACTGTAAAATTATGAAAATTTTATTATAGAATAATCTGTTGGAACACAAGTTTCACATTTACAGCGTAAAGTATAAAACTTACCCAATCTGCTTTTTCCTCTTCAATCCGTTGTTTAATAGTAGCCATATCTGATGTATCATATGTAAAACCACCATCAGATTTTACTATAGTGAAAGGTACTCCTTTACCAGGTTCCTCTCCCCACATCACTTTTCGTCCATTATCTTCTTCTAACAAATTTTTTGATTCTAGCTCTTCGACAATTATTTCCATACGCTTTTGATAAAATGATTCACCTCTCTCTATTAACTTGATATCTAGTCGAGTATAGAGTTTCTGGAACTCTATATCAAACAGAAGAAAATAATTTCAAAGTAATTGTTTTCTTTCATAATCAATAACTCTTGAATGTAACGAGAGTTCTATTACCTTGCATAGATACATCGCATATCATTTTCCATGCTTTTATTATATCTGGCTCAAAAGCTTGTAATTTAACAACGCATTCGTACGCACGTTTCTTGAATTCCTCGTCTGCATCAAATCTAATCTTAGATTCTTTATAGAAGGTCTGTATGGACATGTGCAAATATATAAATAATTGATATATTTGTTTATAAAATAATTGTTGCATTAAAGTTAAAAATATACAATACAATAGTTACCTGAAGATCCTGAATTGGAGGATTAACAGTTAAATAATTAGGAAATTTGTCTTGAAGATGCGCTATTAACATTCCAAATTGTGTACCCCAATCTCCTATGTGATTGATTCTCAGCACATAGTGTCCCAAGTATTCAAATATCCTTGCAAGACTATCTCCAATTATAGTAGATCTTAAGTGTCCCACATGCATTTCCTTGGCAATATTAGGACTAGAAAAATCCACAACTATCCTATGCTTCTCAACATATGGTGGAAGAATCTCACCAGTTGTCAGCCAATTGCTTAAAGCACATTGTCCAAAATCACGTTTTAAGTATATATTTATATATCCTGCACCAGCTATTTCATATTTATCGACAAGAGGTGATTCTTTCAGCTTGGACATAATGGTGTTAGCAACAGTGCGTGGAGCTAATTTATTACCTTTAATAATACACAATTATATACTATATGTATCCAATGTACAATATGTATCCAATATACATAAACATATAAATATATATGTATATATATATCCCCATTTTGTAAAATACTAAAAAATGTTTACCAGTAGTACTCAGTTCTCGTGCTAAAGGCAGAGCACTGTTGCATTGATAATCTCCAAATTTGGGATTACTATTGGTAGTTATTGAAATTAGTGACTTTTTTGCATTAGGATAAGCAGCCATGATAGCTTTATGAAAGATATCCCAAAGAGTAGCATGTATACTGATTGTATTGCTTTGAGGTATGTTAGACATCGATGATAGCTTGTCTTCTGATTCATTAATCATTGATGGTACACTCTCTTTATCTTTTGCTTTATACATTTCTATAGTCTAGGAAAAATAATTATAAAGGACGAATATATTAGAAATAAAGTTTTAAATAGAAATTCTATTACAATATGTACAGTTTGGACAGCTACTGTCAAAAGCTTACCCTTGTGAGTATTATTATTCTATGCTTTAGCTTGACATTCTCTTGTTGTAATCTTTCAAACTCTTCCTTATTCACATTAGAAACAATCTGCGAAGTATCAGGCTTGAAACTCTTCAACAGCAATTCAATTTGTTCCTTTAGAAGAGCTATCTCTATTTCCTACAATATTGATTGAACATATACATGAGTATAACCTCGCAGTACGCTGTAATATAGACTAATTCATAATGTAACATAACAGAATATTAAAAAATAATGGATAAAAATATTTACCGCTGCAGTAGCTTGTTTATCGAGTTTTTTCCAATTTGGTTCCGACATCGTATATTTTTAATTTTTATCGAGGAGTCACCACGTGGTTAGTTTAAACAGAGAGAAAGATCTTTCTCTCTGGTTTAAACGAGTAACTGCTGGCACAAAGACACCTCGTGCATCAAAAGAAAAACATATATAGCAATATACATTAAATATTGTAATTTTTTTATAAATTGTTATTATTATTGTACACTTTTGCAGTTTTATTGTTATTTATTTTAATATTTTATATTTAATTTAATATTTTACGAGGGTAGTTCAAAATCAACACGGATGTCATCATTAACCAGAGATAAAAATCGTTATTCCAAATCTCCATGTTTTTTCTACATATTTTCTACATATTTTTTCTAACATATATTATTAATTAGGCTTTTAAATACAATATTTTATTTAAGTTTAGTCCGTTTAAAATTAACTCCATATTTTATTTGCAAAATCTTTTTCTCTTTCTATCGCTTATAAAAGTAATTTTTAATATTACAATGTTTTTAAAACATTTAATAATAGAAACTATATATATATATATATATTTTTTTTTTGGTAATGTAATTTGCTCTTCATATTGCCAATTTTATTTTTAATTATTTTCCCCCTTGCATTATATTGCTTTGTTTATTTCATATTTCCCGCGCATAAAATAAAATTGCGCGCAAGAATAAAAATCTGTTCAAAAATACTACTTGTTGGTAGCGTTCGATTGACCAATCAGAACAGAAGGAGCGAGGATTTCTTTGTCGTGATTGGTTAATTCAACTGTACTCTACTCTTCTAGTAGGATTTTGGAACACATTCATATTCTGCGCTTGCGCAATCGTGGCAAACGTCATAGTAGGGGAGGAACAAGAAAACGCGCGTAAAAGTAGTTATTAAGGGTCGGCAGGCGACATGGTGGAGACGCCTATCGGCCGGCCGGGAATTACGGATTCTTATTTTCCAGATATTAGCGAAAATATTGAATGAATCTTATTAAATTTAGGATATTCTTAATCAGTAAGCTCATTTGTAGTCCTCTAAAGAGCTATTTTATGAAAAAAAGATAAAAATAAAAATTTTTAATAAACTTGGGGGAATGCACAGCTAGGAACGGGTAAGGTTGGGTTAGCCGCGAGTCCGTATTTTATTTATTATAAATTTTTAAGAGCGAAAATGTAAAATCCGGCCTTTTAGAGGACTGCTTTATTATATAAAGAATATATTAAAAAAAAATTCACGAAGTTATGTCACTTATTTTATGAAATATCTGGACGATAAGATTCTCACTAGATTCATAAGGAGCAGGGGAAATTTCTGTGGTAACATGCTGACTGCTTGACAAGGAGAGAGCATCATTCCATCTTTGTCTCTCTTACATCGCATATGTAGTAGCGTCCATGTAGGTACAAACACTAATACGTGAGCACACGGATGCAAATATTGAGAGATAATGTCAGCAAAAAGGCTATCATATTATTTTTATTTTTTTGTATATGTATGCATATGTAAATAAAGAACAAAAATAAAAACTATTTTAAGATGACATTTTATAATTAATTTTCTATATGTATTTGCATTTTATTAATATGTATTACATTTTTGATATGTTTTTAATTTATAATTTATATAAACATAAGTATGAAATAAAAATTGAAATAGTTCTGAAAATAAGTATATTAATGATAAAATTATTCAAAACAATAAAAAAATTAAATTTAATATTTTTTAGTGTTTGTACCTACATGGACGCTACTACATATGCGATGTAAGAGAGACAAAGATGGAATGATGCTCTCTCCTTGTCAAGCAGTATTAAAAGCCATATTAAAAGCTCTAGCTTCATTCAATTAATAATCCAATATAATAATCAACAATTATTTTTATATAATATATAGTATTTTTAAATATTTTTAAATATTTAAAAATATTTTTTTTAAGATTAATTGAGGAAAAGAATATTTTAAATATAAAAAAATATTTTAAATATTCTTTTTCAATTAATTTTTAAAACAAATTTTTAAAAATATTTTTATATATTCAATTACTTATTATATTATATAAAAATTATTGTGAATTATACTCATTGGAGTAATAATTATTGATTAAAGCTTGTTATGGCACAAACTGAACATCTTGTACATTGTCTGTATAATATTTTACTTATTTATAAAATGTTTTTTATAAATAAATGAAATATTATATATATATAATATATAAGATTATAATATATAAGATTATTGATGTTACATTGTATAACTCTCATTTCTTTCTCTCTGCTACATAAGTACTTATGACGTGAAAGAACTTACGAGTAACGTATGATGGCTCAATGCAAGAATATTTAATCACGTAAAAAACTTGAGTTCAAATATATCAATATCAATTTTTTTATAATATATTGGAATATAGAAAATCATAGAAATATATTTTTTATATAGGCGATAAACTTAAAAATTTGATATTGAAAATATTTTAATCATTTTACAACTACACATACTATAAATATATAAATGCAAAATAATTCCGTAAATAAATTTCAAGTAATAAATCAATTGCACACATGCACACAGCTGGTATGTAGATTTTTATTAAATTTATTTTCTGAATTATTTTACACTTATATATAGTGTATGTAGTAAAAATATTTTCAATATATTAAAAAATTTTTTAATCGCCGAAATATATTTTTTTATCATTTTTCTATATTCTAATATATATATATATATATTATATAAAAATTGATATTGATATATTTGAACTCTAATTTATATACTGGATGATATACTGAACATCCTTGCATTGATTATACATTACTCAACGTTCTTTCACGTTATAAGTATTTGGAGCAAATTATACAATAGCATCAATGATCAAAAAGAAATCAAGAATATAATCAACATATCCCTTATATAATATATATATATATATATATATATATATATATATATATGTTATATATATACGTTATGCACATATGTGCATAACCATATATACAATTTCCAAAAAGTGGGTGCTTATTAGTCTTGCTACGTTACTGCTTTCTGCTACGGAAGGCCAGAAAGCATTTTCAGGCGGCATCTCGCGTATACCGGCACGGTAGATGAACAAGGAGAACACGTGATTATCGGTCCTTGTCTCTCTTACGTGCGTCCGCGTGAGCGATGCAGTTGGTGTATGTACGTGTACAGACATACACCACTACATAAAACCCGAGAATTGGTTTCTCGGCGTTGGCAACACTGAAACCGGAGTTTCGCGTTGTCACCGCACGAGGTCTCCAATATCAATTCGGAGTTTGCCTGGGTGTACTGCCGACCCTTAACCAGTGAACGAAGTTGGAAGGAGCTCTGAGTGTAGAAGTAAATTTAAAGTTTCTGAAATATGTAAGTACGCAATATATGTAATTGATATTTTAATGAATATTTTCTACATGCATACAATAGAATATTCGTAAAATATATCTATATCATTGTAAATAAGCGTGAGAAAATGTTATCTAATATCACGAGGGGAGGGGGAAAGTTTTGTATAAGTTTTATAAATATAAAAAAAACTGATAAATAACAAAGATATAGTAAATATACAATCTCGTTTTATATCAATCATTTATTTTCTCCATACAAATTATAAACATGTTTTTCAAATACTGTACATATATACTGAGTTCTATTATACTTTTAAACCTCTAATTTTAATGATATATCATTTTATTTATTTTCATTTACTCATTAAAACAACTACTTTGATCCTCATTTCGTTTCATTTATGATAATATACAGGTAAATCTTATTTCCTTTTTTCCTCCAATCGATATTTTTTAATCATCTTTACGATCAAGCTCAATTCTTTGATATGGCAGTTCCAGGATATGAATAAATAGAATTTCAAATTTAAAAAATGTAATTCCTCTAATTTGCCATATTAATCAGCAGGCCAATTGTATATTTGTTGCAGTTAATATTTTTACAGAGATCAAAGATATAAATTTAATAAGAGAATATTCAGTTAAAATTTAATTAAGAGTTATTTCTGCTTCATAAATCTTCTTCTGCTTAATATTTATCAACAAAAATATTAAGAAATATAAATTAGTTACAAATTGATAAAAATATATTCATTTCACATATAACTTTTTAATTATAATAAAATTATGAAATATATATATTTCATAGAATAAGAAATGTATATTTTTCATAATAATAAAATAATGTATTTAATAATACATAATAATATGTAAATAGATAAAATATATAGTTTAAGTAATTGTTCTGTTTTTTAACTTTTGTATATAAAAACAGTTTATTTAATGCACATGTAACTGTTTTTAATAATTTAGTATTTAACACTGAATCAAATAGACATAAAATTAAGATATACTAATAAAAGTTCAACATCAAACTATTCTTCTGCATCAAAATATCTATATGTATAAGAAACTTATAGAAATCACGATCTCTATAAAAATATTAATTTTGGCATACTGTTATTTCGAAATGTGGAACTGGATTTTGTAATGAGCTGCAAGCAAAAGTCTCTCTTTTGCTAGGGTACTTATTACAAAAATGTAACTGCTGGAACTTGAACAATTTCTCATGGTCTTTGTGTAAATATATACAAAGATATTTAACAAATTTGAATCAATCGACCGATCGTATCGTATATATTGTGTACAGTGTGAGTTATCTCTTTTTCTTCTTTTTTCTTAGTCTACTTCTGCATTTTGTATCTTTTTGTCGGGCCTCGATTTCTGATATCATCAATATAGAGTGAAAGAGTACTATTTTCTATCTTCACAGAAGACATAGATAAATATATATTTTCATAATCTTTTCTTATAAATGTAATTCGCTTACTTTAAAATTATTACGCGTAAATGTCAATAGTATTAGTATCGGTGCTTCTTTTTTTTCAATTTCATATTCCATCTATTTTTTGAATTTCCATACAAAATAAAAACCTACGCGATCGAATTCCTGTGAGTATCTTCCAATGATATTGCGCAGTTTTGGAAATAACAATACATCATTAAGCAAGTCGATATGTAACCACGATACGCTGCCTTGTTCATCATAGATATACAACATTATGGAGAGAAACATTACATATGTTGTTTTAATAATTTTTATCAAAATGATTAAAATTGTAAAATAAAGAACTTTATTTCCAACAGATACAGCAAAATATCGCAAAAAACATCCATGTAAAGCGGAATCGTGGTTACAATTTCAGTTTGATATGCAAGCGATTTTGCAAAAAATCACAATTTATATTGTCAAAAATTATAATAAAAAACGATGAGATGAATTATTACTGGCTACTAGTGTTCATTTGAGAATAATATTATGGAGAATCATTCTCGAAAACACATAATACAACTATAAATGAATAAATCATCAAAGAGTACGCAAGTAAAGAAATGAGAGAATTATTCTTTTACTTTTTTATTCTTTTTTTTATTTTTGAGAGTTAAATCCAAATGAACACTAAGCTTACAAAAAAAAAAAAAAAAAAAACAGTAACAATACGTAAAAGATATGTGAAGCTGCCAGTTAAAAAAAAAAACATTCACGTATCAATTAAATATAAATTCCTTTCTACTCCAGTCAACCATATAGTAAATTCACTTTTCACCCCAAATAAAAAGCGACATATTTCTGACTAAAAGAGATCAAAATACATTGCCACTTGTTCCATAAAAGTTAATTAAAGTAAGAATACAGTAAATAATATTATCTTCTTAAAATATACACAATCTTTCCTTGCTTATGTTAACATTTACTGTCTGATAGGCAAGTTCTGTTTCGGGAACACACAACAGATCCGATTACAAAATAAGTAAAAATTTCCTGTGCCTTTACACATAATTATCTATACGAGAGATGCGATTAAATAAAGTCAATTGCGGTGTATGGTCCTCTACTCGTTTAAACAATTGCCACTGAATTTATGAAAAATCTCTGTATGTAAGTTCTCTATGGTCCTTGTATATAAGAAAAACGCGCAAATTATATTATTAAGTACGAAATATTTTTGCAGTGTTGGGCATTATCTTATCAATGCTCTGTAAAATACTTTTAACTTACAGAGATTTGCAGAGTTGTATTGAAATCAAATGATTAAACGATATATTGTAATTCAAATATCAATGTTTTACATGCCACTATGACAATAGCCATGGTGTGTGTATGTGTGTGTGTGTGTGTATATGTGTGTGTGTCTGTATGTGTTGTGTCTTATTATTACATTTCTCGAGATAGATTTCAATACACTCCTGATGAAAAATGCCAAGGTCAGGTTTTAGAGAGATCTAAGTCCTTATCACATAGCTATATCCCATGATCGTGGCCTATTCTTCTATCTGTAATCGATGTAATCTGATATATCGCTTGGTAAATGTGTAGTAGAAAGATAAAAACAAACAAAGTACACTAAATAAGAAAAATCATTCATCAGTAAGAACTATAGAAAGTGATCTTAAAATACAAAGTAAGGCGATTATAAGAAATACAAACAAATCCCTCTAACCTAAGTGTCGCTGCCTAATAAGAGTGGGTGGGTTTGCACATATTAAAGTGCATTTTAAAAGATCGAATTTTAAAAATATATAAAAATGATCATCATCCTTCTTTTTCTATCGATCATTAAAGATATCAGATATTAAAGATAATGATTGTTGCAGCAAAAATTTTCATAGTGATAATAATTCTTACATGAAAAGAATTTTGCAATAGAATTTAGGAAACATATTGTTGATGCACGATGTTTCGTTTTTCTTGTGTGTTTTTGATCTAATTCTGATAATTAAAAACGATGTATTATCATAATCATAATGTAATTTATGATACTTAAAAAGTCACAATGGCATATCTCTCGATCAAACCTCCATTTTCTTTAAAACTTAGAAATCACTTAGATAACTTTATACACGTTCATTTATAACAATGTAAATCGTAATCATTGCATTAATATTTAACATATATATTCTTATACATAATATATGTATATTTGTGTGTGGATGTCTTGTCTCGGTTCTCTATCATCTAATTTAATAATAAAACTATAATACTAAATCATGTTGGGGTACCATGCCTTTCCGAGATCAGAGTCTGTTTCTTCGTTTTCTTACTCTTGTTGCATTGCTTACATCTCTTTACATAGCTTTATACCAAAATTTATTGTCGATTTTAACTTAATTTATTGTATCCCCTTTATTAAAATCTCGACGAATTCGCCGATTAAATGGATGATGTGTGATTACGCGACCATAAAATATATATGCGACTTTTTTATATATCTATTTTATTATAAAATTTATAACTGTGATATATCTTAAAGACATTGCCTCTAGTGTATCTGTAAGAATCTTTTCTTACAGTACGTCACAAATACTTAGAGACTTAATAAGATATTAAAAGTATAAACTTTGAATCAAACTCAAGCTCGGGCTGGCCAGTACTCTATTGTACGTGTGTGTTGTATATATACGTGTATAGAGTCCTCTTTAAGGAGTTTCAAGGAAAACGTTCGCAACATATTTTATCTCTATTTTATTTTGCAAAATTATAAAAACACGAATTCCAGGAAATAAAAATAAAATCTTTTAGTATTTAAAATATTTATTATGTAATACTTAGGTTTCTCAATTTGAATTAAATCTTTCAGCTTTAACTTTGTCCTTTAGCATTAATAATTGATAATAAATGATTGAAATATATTTGGTTTTGTAAATCAAAACCCGTTTGTTAATAAAACTACATTTTCCACTGGATAATATTTAAATTTACAAAAAATTTACATATTTAGCATTAAAAAATTCAAATATAAAAGTGTTTCAAATATAGAAAAAATTATGTCATACACAATGACAAAATTATCAAATACATCATATTAATTGATTAATTCATCCAGATGGTATATCGAGGATATATGCTCTATTTATATATAACACTCATTAGTTACTCAATATTTACACTTGTTTATAGAATAATTTTCTTAACGTTATCGATCGAATATTTTCCATAGAAACTCACCCAACTATGGACGCGAAAATATTTCTGTTTAAGTGTAAACATGTCGTGTTATATCAATGTGTTCGCGCAATATATCGCGCGCGTAATATTCAATCGAATTTTTCTATTCTTTAATCTTGAATGAGTTGTTTTTCTTCAAGTTAAATTTCTCCTCTCTTACGCTGCTTTCCCATTACATTACATTACATTTGCGTTAGCTGTGAGAAAGCGAGTGAAAGATAAGAGTGCATGTTAGAATAAGAGAAATACTTGCTTTTGATAATTTTAGAATAGAGAAAATCGATTGGACGGGATGTGTAAACATGTGTGTACATATTTTCATAGTGTCCTTGTGTGTATGTATATACTTATGGATGATCTTTATGTGATGGTAGGCACTGATGGGGGTGGATGGCTGCATGGCGAGCAGGTTCAAGCAGGCTAGTCTTGGACCAATCTGTATATGTGGTGCTGAGCACCGTGTTCAGAAGTCGACACTTCAAACACATATGCTGTGCACAGTAATGTTTCCTGCGTATCCCTGTTCGTGACAACCTGTGAAGGTAAGAGATAAAAGTAAGAAAAATATCTCTTATTTATTCTCGTTTATTTTATAATTCTATAAAAATAGTATAAATTCAACTACTTAACTTTGATTTTTTCTGTAGAATGTATTTTATATATTTGAAATTAAATATACAAGTAATTAAATTTAAATATTACAAGTAACTATAATATCCAAAATTGTTGATTCAGACAGAATACTCTTTTAATTATTAATTGTAACGAATTATAAGAATTGTAAAACGAGAAACATTAGTCTAAAATTAATAATAAGATTCATGGGCGTACTGCGATGCGTGCGCAATTTAATAAATAAATAAATTACAAAAATAACAAAAAGAAAAAAATAAATATATAAATAAAAAAATTAAAAAAGGCTTATAGGATGACATATGTATTTTTAAACGATTTTAAACTTCAAATTATAAATTAACACGTGACAATAATGTCATCAACGTACCTGGAGGATGGTGAAGTTTTCGAGAACGCTGTTCATCATGTACTTCTCTGGCAGGTGCTTCAGTTTGTGGATGAAATTAATCATATACTCGCACATAGGTGAACGGCTAATACGGTAAACAAACCTGCCGTTTTCAAACCTGGCATACTCCGTTTCCACCTTTTCCACCACCTGCTTTCCAAATGAGCACACTTTCGTCGAACACGTTATCGTCATGTTCTCGTTGCTCTCGTATCTGTCGCAATATAAAATACAATATAAGTATCACTTCGGATTACAAAGTCATATGAAACTAACTAACGAAAAGGTATACTCACTGGCTTGTGACGCCATAAAATGCTCCAGCTTCGTCTTGGATGTTACTATTGAGATCAGCCCAAAACTTAACGAGGAAGAAAGCCGCCTGTGGTCCTTTATCGTAAAGTTCTTTGAGACCACCTTTCTTTTCAGGAAATTTGTCGTATATCTGCTTAACATCGACCGCCTCCAAGAGTGGATCCGCATAGGTTGCAGAACCTCCTATATGGACGAACAGGTGTTTGTGGTACTAAAAAGAAAAAAGAGAAAAATTAATATCTGTTTCTGAGAGAAGATGTGTTTTAGAATCATCAACTACAGAGCTCAAGTTTTTAATTCAATCGTTAGAATTAATTTGATATAATTTTCTAACGTTCATATTTTTCATTGGATGACATAAATTACGCATTCTTGAAAAGATAATTTCTTGAAAATACATATGTAAACGCTTGTCAAGGTACATAGTTGAGCTTCGAAAAATCTTAACTTTCTTAATTAATAGATCTAATCTTCCTTATACTGCTCACTATGCGCTAGGCATTACTCACAATCTCCTGGTCTCTTTGCTGCTCCATGTAGGCCGAGAACTCGACAAGCCTAAGTTTGTGAGTCGCGATGGCGCGTCCTTCCCAGGGCGGTGGAGGTTGTGCCTGGACTATGTCACCGCTCGAGACCGCCGTCGCCGGTTTCCCGGTGTAGGCAGGTTGAGGGAACGGCTTGACATCTTGGGACGTTCCAGGCTGTAGACCTGGTTGCCAAAATTGCTGAAAATATTGCGACACGTTAATGATTTTAGCCATACGCTTGATGTTCATTAATAATAACTCGTTTATTGCTATTTGATTAGTATAAAATAATTGATAGTTTAATTATTAAATTAGCGTCAGATTCGAACAGCAATACAATTATACTGTACTGCATAAATCGCATTAGTATTAATACAAAAGAAATTAATTTTATATTTTAAATTGAGAACATAGTTGAGTAAAGAACTTGATGAATTTAATTTCAAGATTTCATCCAATAATAAATTGCATTAGATATAATAAGATTTATATTATAAATGTACTATATCTAAATATTATTTTCCTCTTATAATTTTAATATTTATATCATATAAATATTAAATGTTTCGCTAACAAAAGAAGAATTGACAAAATCTTTTTATTTTTCGTATAAGCCATCGAGCCATCGGGCGAGAAACGAGCGATAGGAAACGAAATAAACGAACACAAATAATAAAGAACAACAATAACAACACAATAACAACAAAGGACTAATCGTGTTATTATATAAAGAGAAAAAAAAGAGAGACAGTTTGTGATATAAGCCATAACGATATTTCTCGTTATGTACATATGTCCAATGCGTATACGTACATATACATATACATACATATATGTAAACGTATACGTGTGTGTGACGCCCAGATGATAGGTATGTAGGTATAAGATTAGAGCGACGGACAAATTCAACAATACACAACAAGGGCCCCCAGGGGCAACGCAGCAGTAGCAGCAGCAGAGAGCCAGGGGAATGTCACTTTTGCGAGGGATGGTTAGTTTTTGACGCAAAAGCTTTCGCGCGATGAAGAAAAGAAAGAGTTCGTGGTTGATGTTACAGAAACACACTTTCCGTTTGTTCTTGCTCTTTCTTAATCAGAGGTACGAAAAAAGCACGAAAGAATAAAATAGCGAAAAAGCGAAAATATAATTTAAAAAAGGAATAAAAGAGGAATAAAAAAGCTAAAACTTTTTCTTACCGCTTATAATTGATTAATATTATTTTTCTTTTTTATGTAAAAGACAAGACAAAAACAATGCAGTGAAATCTGATCTAGAAATTGAAAGATATTTTTAAATTTAAGACAAAATTGGTTCATTCTTTTACATCTATTTCAAATCTATCTTATAATGCTAACGATTGCATATTTTAACAACATTACAATTATTGCCTTATATGTTATACAGAAATTAATATTGAATATATTTATCGAGATCAAATTATCAATAGCGAATGCACGCATATTGTTTCTATAAATGCAACGTCAGTATCTTTCATTATAATCCTTCTCTGGCGTGTCATTTTAATTACATAATACTACCTTAAATTCTCGTGAAAAGCACAAACAATTGATGGGTCAGTCGGCAAACCACAAGGTAAGTACTGATTGCCTTTGATTGGCAAATTAGCAGTTATCGAGCGAAGCGGTTAGAAACAAGTCACGAATTGAAAAAGAGATCAAATAATGATAACCAAAAAGAAAATATCCTCAAAGACGACGAGACATTTTATGTCTTGCATTTTCATGATGTGATGTATGAATGACATCATATAAAAAAATTCTTTTCCCTCCAAATATATATCAAATACCTTCAGTATTTTAAAAATATATATTTATTAGTTATCATAAAGCAAGTTGTTCTTGTTCACAACACTGAATAAACAATAAAAATGTCACTTATATTCATTTTCTCGCCGCTAGCCGCTAAACTCGCTTCTTTCTTCATTGAAAAATTAATCGTATTTTTAAAAATTAAATACTTCGAAATTATCTTATAAAATTTCTCCGAGAATTTTCCCTTCAATTTTATAAATTAAATTCACAATTTCAGTTTTGCAAAAGAATAATAAATCTTTGACGATAATAACGAGTTCAACGCGTCTTCGGCGCTTGATACATTAAATTCGACCCGAGAGAATTTCACAATTAAAAAGAATTTATACAATAAAACGAAAGAAATCGAAATCGCTTGCTTCGCTTAAAAGCTTCATCATGCGAAATCAGTATTACGGTGATTAACTTAATTAAGTACTCTGTACTTCACCGCGTCTCGTCGTCTCACCCTAAAGCTCGTGGCTCCTTTGAAAAGAAAGAGATCGATAGAAAAAAAAAAAAGGAAAAAATGTCTCAAGGGGTTCTTTTCCGATATCAGGACTTACCGCTCCGGGATAGGAGACAGGGGTGGAAGCAAGGGCAAGGGGCCCCACGAGAGCGGGGGGCATCTTGTTGTGTATCGCACTTCCAGCTGATACTATCTGGGCGCTCGACATGCTCGACATTGTCTGGAGTGCCTTCTCCTTGGCGGCATGATCCTGACAAATTTTCAGACCGATTACCACGTTACGCCCAACGAAATGGTATCATATTATCTGCTATTTTTTTTTTTTTTTTTTTTAAGTACTATATCGAAAAGTCGTCGAGGCTGAATGAATTTTGATACAGGTTGTCCACATTTTCCCAGAACCGATACGAATTTTAACGACAGATCCTTTGACATATTCGAAGTCAATTTCTTGATGCGATCAACTTTAAATGGCTTTTCATAGCATTACGAATATTGCTAAAATTTCTGAGAAGACAAAGCTTACTTTGGGATAAGTTTTTAATTTTTTAATTATTTATAGATAAGAATACGGAAAAAATTAGTCACCTTAATTAAATTCCAACTATATTACAATTTGAAATGTTGTTACTATGCTTAAATTTTAGCTATGATAACTACTTAATATTTTTAGCTATAGTTTAACACACGGAGAATTCTATAACTAAAACATATATATTAACTATCACAGCTAAAATTTAATCATGATAACTAAATTTCACATGTAATATAGGGGTAGCTAAAATAATGTATAGCTCATTTTGTCCCGTGAAACAATTAATGTGTTGATAAATTGATTAAGAACAAATCGACTTCAAATTGGTAAGAGAATATGTCATTTAAGAGTGTTAAGATACGATTATTTAAATTAAAAGTACATTTTCTACAAAAACACAAAATACCAAACATAATAGAACATATAAAAATAGTGAATTTTTCAAACACCATTTTTAATACAGAGAACTCAATTTATTGAGTTTTATATAAATATTTAACAGCAAAATCCGATAAATTTTCGCTGCGCTTTTTTTTTATCGTTCACTTCGTGGAGAGACAAACGCGCGATGTCGATCGAAAAATCGGAGAATTCGCGACATCCGGGATACTCACTCGCGATATCAATCAACAGCCGGCAAATAAATTTGTAACATTCTCAATGATGCGAATCAATTTGCCCACTCCCGATTATCCGGCGCGGCGGCGCCCCCTTTTTTTTTTCTTCCCCTGCGGTAATTTTTTTTTTTTGTCGTCCATCGCGCGCGTGTCGCGCCGCATCCCGCGCGATGAAATCGATCGCGATCGCGCAATGCAGTTGATTGCAGAAACAAAACCGGCGGGGCGAATCCGGTTGCAACAGAAATTCGCGGGAATTCGGCGCGCTTTTATCGGAAAGCCGTCGTTTTAATCAGCGCCCGACCGAAAATCGCTGACGAGGCGAACGAGAGGTGGTTCGTTGCCGTGACGTTTGGAAAATTGCCGTGCCCACCACCATCATCCCTCTCCCCCTCTCTACCCCCATCACCCTCCCCCGCGCTTATTCGCGGCTCACCCTCTCGTCCCCGTCCCCACGGGGATTTTCAATTTCGTTCATAAATCCGTAATGGAGGAGTCACTACGAGTGCCGGTCGACCGGAATGAAGCGCCGCCCGCGTAACGATGCGAGCAATAAAGAATTTAGCCGACGGTGCGACCGAAAATCACGGGTTGCATTTTGCTCTCGACGTTGTTTACGCCCCTCGCGTGTTCGCTTCGAAGCGCACAAAGAGCCGCCGCCGTTCCTATTATTTACCGGGCTTTCGATCAATCCACAGGTGAATTTTTATTTTTAAAAAATTGTCGACGCGTAAGAATATCGATAGTTGCCCCTTTGACTTGGAAATGATTGGAAATGAAAGCTTTTCATCTCGAATTGAACATTTCCCGATTGATAAAAAATATTAACTTTAGCTAATTTTGTTCGTGTGTGAAATCTTGTTTTAATAACATTTTAAATTTGTATCAAACTGGTTGTTTGAATATTATAATTGTTATTATAGCGTTGTATCTTCAGCTTCAAAAAATTGGATATTTAGTTTAAAGTGCATACGTTAAATAAGCAATGAATTAAAAATGAGAAGCATTTAAAAAATTGCAAGAATTTTAATAATAAAAAGAAAAAAGTGTCTCGAGAATTTAAATAAACTTTATTGAGATAATTAATTAATTAAGAAAATTTCATCGCGCGTATATTTATTCGCTGCACACACAAATATCTGTTTATAAAATTTCAGTATACCAGGAAACTTTTCACAGATACTTTAGTGCGCTAATTAATAATCAGATTTATCACCTAATAAAAGCAATTATATTGTTACAAATTCGACAGTGCGATTAAGCAATGATATAGAGATGTGTGGCAATTGTCATTAAAATTAATCTTTTTATTAAAGAGAGAGGAGAATAAAACTATAACTTTTGCGATCTTCCTCTCTGTCTATAATTTATTTCGCATTAAATTCGCGTAAAGAAAGCAATTTTGCATATACAGGGCGCTCTTTACAATCACCTCCGATTATTCCCTAATTAAAAAAAAAAAATGTTTCTTAACGTCAACGCGCTCATAATTTTCCATCGTTTGCGCGCGAAATACATTTTGCAATACAATCGAACGCAACAGGAATTGGTAGATTAACCGTCACATAAGGTCGATTTACAAAGTGGTTTTCGGCCGTGCGCGAATTTCGCCGGGTAGAATGCAATTTTTTATGAATGTTGGATGACATCGATTACCCGCGAAAAGTCCATTTCGCAGTGCGAACCGTTGTTCACGTTGTGCGAAGCGCGCGCTGAATTTGCAGCAGAAAATCAATTCGGTTAATTGAGAGGGTGCAGTCCGTGTCGCTTTTTTTAATTTCCACCCTTCGTCCCACACGCTGTCTTTCTCTCTCTCGCGCGTACACACACAAACATACACACTCCCTCTCTCTCTCTCTCTCACCCTTCATCTCTCGAATACACGCCAGGAATGCAGAGGATTGGGCGGGTAACGGGTTGGACATGTTTATCGACATTCTGAAATGCTGCCCGTTTTTGGGCACCCCCTCCTCGATCCCTTTCTATAACCGCTACAAACCCCCGTCCACCGCCCCGTTATCGGGAGTACGTTTACACCGCAACAATTAATTACGCCGTAATGCCCGGTGCAATTATTTCCAAAATAAATAAAACGGCGGACGCGATCTCTCTCGATAAACTGTGATAGTCGGCGCAACCTCGTTTGATGGGCGCGGCGCGTGTAAAATTTGCGAGCACAAAAGCTAAATCAAACCCGCGTAAAACGTATTACCTGTTGTTAACATAAAAGAAAATGACAAATGTGCTGGAAGAAACACAATGGAATCAAAATCGCAAATTCAGAAATGTTTATATTCAAAGAGTGTAATATATATAGAGATTTTTATATTATATTTTTATCGCGCATTTAGCAGTAAAATGAGGAGAGGGATTTAAATATCGTTTCACATTTTTTTAAATTAAATTTTATCAAATATTAATTTCGATTCTTCTGTCTTTATTATTATTACCGACGTAAAATCTGGTACATAAAAACGCATGGATTTTAAAATTTGCGAAAAATAAATAATGGTATGTTTCAACCATAAAAAATATTAACTTGTCAAAAAATTAGCTTTAAAATCGAATGTCTTATAAAATCTAATAGTATCTAACTATAGAGAGTATTCTTTAGATACTCTGTATTAAATAATATCAGATTTTAAGTATTTAAAAAAAAGGCATATTTGAGGAATTTTTTTTTTTTTTTTAACACTTAATAACGAGTTATAATAATTTTAGTTCAATTAGATATAAATTTCGTTTAAATCGATGTTGCCTCGTTTTGAAAGACGCGAAATACGAAACCAAGGAGGTATGTATATCCGGAGGATATACATATATGCATATATAAAGACGACGTAAGGTGCGTGCGTAATATATAGAAGCGTAATATATAGAAACGTCATGATACGAAACGTCAGCAGCTCCCGTGAGAAAATTTTTCTCTTTCCGACCGAATAAATCGCGCGATCCGCGCGACCGCAGGAGGGTAGCAACCCCCTTGAGCAACAAACAAAAGCCGCGGCGTGGCGCGTTCACCCTTCCTGAAAAGCGGAAACCAGAAAATTACGTCACGGTGGACCGTACACCCCACCCGCTACTTTCCTGAATAATGTCCGCGGTATGCGGCCACTGCAGTTGCAGTTGCCGCTGCAGCTGCGGCTGACCATACTCTTAAAAACGGAAACCCCGCGCAAGTATTTCATAAATGGCACCGTAGCGCGGAACCGCGCGTGCGGAAACGGACGACATCTTATTACATTTATATGTCGCACGTGTAATTAAAATTGTTCGAGGAACGCCGGTGTTTTCCTCAACTTTTCGCGGCTTCTAAAAGTCGAGGCGTAGAATGAGATGCATGTAAAATTGTAATGGAAATATATAAGAAAAAATTCAACACGTATATTATCAGACTGAGTCACGCGGTTGTGTCAAACTTTTGAAACTGTTGAAGAGGGACAGATTTGTTGTTCAAACTTGAGACAAAAATCCTTATGAAAGAAAGACTATTGAGAAACATCCTCATTTATATTGCAGCATTGTTTCTAACTAAATCTGGGCTCGAAACTCGGTTAAAGTTCACTGGAAATTGAATGAACAGTGAAGTTTTGTTATCTATTTGTGTCCTTGAAACTTAGCTCGTGAAAACTCTCATTTTCGATGTAGCGGCAGAAAGTATCGATACCTTGACATTCTTCTCTATCTTGTCTTCAAAAAATCATCGAAAAGGATTTCGATCGCATTGCGGAAAATCTCTCAACCTTCGCTGAAAATTTGACTGAAAACTAGAATATCCATATCGGCCGGAGAGTTAATACGTTTACGCGATATAATTTAACGATCCAACTATTTGGTAGTCTCGTCCGGATTGCGCGGAATATTCGAAAAAAAATTTTGATTTATCGTCCTCGATTAAATGGAAGTTTTTTTTCCTTCGAGCGAGAGTTTTACACGGAGTGTTGTATGCAATCGCACGGTTAATTTACACGCTCGGCTTGTTTTTTCACTTTTTTTCTATTTCCGAATATTGACCGATCCTATATAAACACAATACTCTCTGGTCCTTTCTCTCTCTCACCCTTTCTCTTTCTCTCTTTCGTGCCTTCTGTCTCCCGCTATTTTACCGCCCATCGGCGAAATGGAGGCACCAGCGATTGCACCGCCGTGCTTTGATTTATTAACCAACGCGCAATTGTTCGCGAATCGCTTTAATAATTCAGCTGTTGATTAAACGGGGCCGGGTTCATTTTTACGCGTGATTTATCCCGAGGCAATGCTCCTCTCGATACGCGTGTCCCTCCCTCTCGTCGAAAATGATTCCGCAGCGGCTATCGCCCGTTAATGTTCGCATATCGCCGCGCGATCGCGATTTAATATTATCGCTACTACTATCCCGACGTAGAATTCTGCGAGGCAGAAAATGCGAAATAGAACTAAATTCCGATTATTCTAGCGCCGCTGAGCGTTTCGCTCGAATGTTTGATCATGTTCGGTCGATAAAAAAATTATTTGATAAAGGAATATACGCAAATTCGTCAAATATATGTGCAACATTTTCGAATCCTTGCAAAATTATTATATATTATGTATAAAAAACAAATATTTTATAACGCCAAAAATATGCAAATTATCGAACTGTATGATTACATAAAAATTTTTATCTTTCTTCCGCATGATTTTTTCTTATATGATATCTCTCTTTCATCTTTAAGATATTTCTGAAATAATACGAACAACATGACAATCTGTCGATCGCTATTCTTTGGTGGAGAAAATTATTTCATTTTATTAATACAATTGTCATGTAATAAATGACTTGAGATATAATCGTTTGATTATCCGGATATCGAATCGGCTCTTTAAACTTATATATGTACTCGTATAACACCAGTTTTTCAGTATAAATCAGCTTTAGAGAGAAATAAAAGTTCGCCATTCATAAGATTAAAATATCAATTCAACGTATCGCGTTTACAAGAGCGTGTTTACACGTACAATATTTTATTCAATACATTATCAAACAGCGCGACGTGTTATCAAGTATTATATTATACTGTTAAATAAATAATCACATATAATCGCATTTATTTCGCATTTCATTATCATAATAACGCGTCATGTTAAACCGCCGTTGTCGTGCAATTTATTTCGATAATCATCATAAAATATTCGCGTTTATATAAAATAACGTAATTCAAGTCGCTCACACGCGAGAAAAATAAATATTCGGTGATTGTCCCTCCACGAAAGAGGTGAGATAATACGTAATCGAAGTTGCGTGACATCGGACTCGATGTTCATAGGTATTGAAGAAACATTAAGAAAGACGATAGATAAAATAATGAACGTTGAGAGAAACATATAAATGTCGTAATACTTACCACTTTGAGTTTTGCCTGTATTTCCCGGAGTTTTCTTCTCGCGAGAACTTGTATGTGCGAAGATACTTGTTTTCGCGTTCTCGTCTTACCGGTCCTCAATTTGATATAACGGGCAATCAGCTCGTTGCGACCTGCAACACGACCAATTATGTGTCAGATCGAAGCTTATTATTGATATCGTTGCTCAAATAAATTGCATACGATCAGACGCAATATTCTTCTATAAAAACAAAAAAACTTGAAACGCGAGAAATACGAATGAATATAGATAAAGTTGTATTACTTTCTCATCCAGATTTTTGGCTATCTCTGCTTAAATGGAATATTACGTTATTCAAAAATTAGAGGAATAAAATTTAAATTGTTAATAAACTATTCGTATGTAATAATTAAATTGTTATATAAAATATTCGTTCCTTTTTGAGAGAGAATAAAAAGCGATCGTAAACTGACAATCAAACAGTTTATTTTGCCTTTTTTCTGATTAAAAAATGTAAATTTATTATCGTTTTTATCGTTACTTAAAATTGGTTTCCTATATCTATAATCAAGAAGAATAATTGCCATACGTTGCATAAAAATCTATTAAATAATACATCATTTAGCAAACATATAATTAAACAGGAATCTTTCATAGAATACAATAATGTAAATTAATTCCATAATTATTGGAAAAGTCAAGTTGTGCAAGTTCTTAATTCTATTAATAATTTAATCAGGATTCATCAAGCAACATTTATAAATAAATGTGACGACACTTAAAAAGTGTGAAGTGCCAGACTCATATCTTTATTTTATACATTGCTTTAGAAACTCGAAGTGTGAATTAAAACGACTAGAGATAGAATCTCTTTATAATTAATAGTAATCAAAGAATCGACTGTTTGGCAGAGTGAACTTTCGCCAAAGTACTATCTGACTTTTCAAACTCTCATTTAAATCCATCTCTCTTTCTCCCTATTTGTCTGTTTTTCCTCATCCCGAATCGTTTCGCGAAAAAAAAACTGGACGCTTCAATAAATTCTGATTTGCTCGCCGGTAATGGAAACAAACAATCGCGGTATCCGCAGAAGCGTCAGGATCGGTCCTGGGAAATGAAAGCTCCGTGACGAAGATTGCATTCTCGCGAGTCTCGGATACGAGAATTCCTTCTAGAATTGACGAGAAGCAGATCGAACGAATTCAAACAAACTCTCGAGCAACCGCTCGAAATAGGCTTTGAGAGAGTTGCCTCGCAGAAGCATCAGATAAAATCCGCTTTAAAGCCAAGCCGAGCCAATCATCGGCGTATTTAAATCAAGCGATTGCATTTTAGACTAGTCTCTGAAAGTTATGTGTTTCATCGTCAGCCTTCCTCTATGTATATACGCTCTCTCTCTCTCGGTTCTTGCTCTTTAAATTTATTGCATTATCATAATTAAAAATTCGACAGTTTATTTAACAGCTGTTACGATCTTTGCATGAAATATGCAGACAATTAATTAGAGACGAGATTTATGAATTTTTAAGAGTTATTTACATATGTCTTAATTTCTTGCTTGAGTTTTATTACAGACGCATTGACATAATTTAAATATCGATCGAGAAATAATACCATAAATATTGATAAAAAATAAATAATTCAAACCACGACTATTAATTATACGCGCGATTTACCTTGAGAGGATATATACAAATTGACTCGACATCGCGGAGGATCGCTAAATGACAAACGATTTACGAGAGAAAAAAAAACAGCTTCCGCGTGTTCGCGCAAAACTCGCGGCTAAATTTAGCGGGTGAAAAAAAAAAAGCTCGCGCTCGTCATAAATTCTAATTAGCGCGAGGCAGAAACGGCACTCTCAAGCTATATACAGTATCATCGTTTGGCGACTCAATCCGACGGATATCCACGCGAAATTACGCGGCCGCGTAACTCGCGACTCTCGGCAACGATAACGAGCCGTAATAAATCGTAATGAGCCGAAGCGGAGAGCGGGAAACGAAAGGCGGGAAGGAGAGAAATGTCATTCCGCGAGATGGGACGGAGGAGGAGATGAGAAAGAGAACCGAATGCTTTCATTCGATTCGCGCGGTTATAAACCGATGGATATAAACCGTTCGCGAAATTGCCGATAACGAGAGAGGGACGGCCTGGATTTCGAAACTCGGGTGAAAAGAACCGAGAATCAATTCGAATGCGCGGGAGCGTACTATTCAGATTTCATCGTGCCACGATGAAAACCCAACGGCCTCCGTCGGCTTTAACAACACGAATGTTCCATTTGCGCGCTCCATTCCGTGTTTTTTATACAACAATGCATCGCGCGCGTACAAGTTAACACGTGTGTGTACGTGCGAGAGAGAAAGAGACGGGCCAGAATGTTTTGTTTTAATGTGAATCCCATGTATCGAGAGCTATGAAAAATATAGCATCAAAGTGCGGTGACTTGGAGTATCAACAAGAAGTTTGAAGGACTCATTTCTAAATGATTTTCGTTTTGCGCACAAACCAAACTTGCAATTATGAGAAACAAGAGAAAAATTTCACAAATTTATAGATTTTATAAAATATTTATTATTATTAAATACTGATGAATCATCTATATGCAGATTTGTATTTTTTAAACAGTAGGTGATATTAAAAATTTCTCATATAATTAATTTGTCCATCATTTTTTTCATTTACGATGTTCGTTTTGTGAATATGCCGTTAAAACAAATTACAAATATTAAATAATTACATACAGAGAGAATTTTACCATGAAAATCATCCCTGAAAAGTATTAACATCATAATTGATATTTTTTATTGTAGTAAATATTAATCAGAGAGATTAAACTCTCAAAATTCTTCCAATACCAAAATATCTCACAGTTATGATTTTCACGGTAAATTTCTAAGAGAAAACTCACTCCATGTAAATACATTTATAGAGTAGCAAACATGCAATTATAAAAATCAATATAAAACAAACTGTTAATCTCGGCTCAAATTATTGTGTTACAATAAAAATAAAATCTCGACGGCAATCGGAGCCTGTGCGGATGACATGCACAAAATTAATAAATTAAAATGAGATCTCAAGTCAAACTCATTTATTAAATTCTAAACGTTTCGACCCACTTCGGGTCTTCTTCAGTAGAATCCGCAAATAAATTAAATATCATTCTCCTCCCTATTCGAACCGTCCGGCCGTCGGAGTGTCTCCCTAACGGTGACCATCGTCAGGAAGGAAGCAGAGCAGTGACTCCCTTACCAACACCCGATCCGATTGCCGTCGAGATTTTATTTTTATAAAAATCAAATCTTTTCTAACAGACAGAAATCGGAAAAGTTCTCTTTCCGAATGATTTTTCTCTGGAACTTGAACCGCGAAATTGCCAGCGCGTTAATTATTGTTATTTCGCTCTCTATACGTATCGAATATTTAACGGTCAATGTGCGATGACAAATATAACATAATTCTACATATGCAAGAAGGAATCGTATAGATTGGAGTCTTTGCTTTCGATGAATTGATTTCCGGCCGTTCGGAGCGTGTAAACGGCGCTCTATATGCCACCTTATCACCGCTTAGATTTCACAGCCGTTAAGGTTTTACGGTCGCCGGTGACCGTAAAACCGGCGCCAGACGGCATCAAACGTGTCGTAATTGAAATAATGTTTAACCGTACGGTAAGCAGAATCACGCCGGGGTACTTCGATTCTGACGGATAAGACGCGATCCCAGACGCATAGAATTCTAACGACAGGGTGGGACACTTTGAGCTCGTACTTTGATCGCGTTGAAAACGATTCGAGTTCCTTTTTTATACGGAGGATGATGTGCATTCTATGAAAAATCGCACGCGTCATCGATTTTAAATGCCGAGAATTTACGGCGTCGGATTGAAAGGACTTCTTTTTCTTCATCTCTAAACGCCGATGACATCGCGGGATTAATTGATTAGATTCGTATCGATTTGATCAAAGTACATACATACTTTTGGGAAACAAAAGGACTTAAAATCACGATGTCCCGGCACGATCCGATCGCAGCCGCTTTTTCCTTGCCATAGGGCAAATAAATTATTTCCCCGATAAATTTCCAAGTTTCGCGGAAACTTTCGGGAGAGAGATTACCGTCTTGCCTCTCTTGTGGAAAGACTCGATTAAGAGTTGGTGGTGAACACGGCTCGCTAAATGATTCATCGATTACTCGAGCGAGAAGAGCGACGCAATACTGTCGAGGACAAACACGAGGCGAAACGCGCTGAATCTTCTTTTTTGCATTGCAAATCGCAAGTCGGACAAAATTACGAGCATTCGTCTTCGTCCCGGGGCTCTACGGCCAAACGAATATCGGTTCTTGCATCGCCGCCAAGTTCGTCGAGTTGTACGTACAAGACATTGTTCGTAATATAAGCGCGCAATCGATGTGTTCTCTTATTTATTGTCGCCGGTATGACGTGTAGATCGTGACCGTAACGATTATTGCGAAGCTAAAAAATACGGAGTACGGACGTGGAGAAATCTAATATTCTCCAACTGCGCGGACTTTGTAATAAACGACTAGCCAGTATACTTTTGTGCCAGTTTCGGAAAAAATATATCGCGCTCTCGATTATGAGAGTTTCCAGATAGAAATTAAAGACACGAATAAATCGCTTTCTCTTTTCAGACATGCAACAAAATCATGTTTTTGCTATAGTTTAACGGAGAATGTTATAACTATTAATTTCATGTTTAAATATAGGGACTATGATTGAGCTATTGATTTTTTTCCGTGTAAAATTTAGAGTTGTTAATTAAATTTCGAGTGTAATATATATAGGGACATCTAAAATTTAACTATGCTTATATTTTTTCCTTTGACGTGATCGGTAATCTATATATATATATATATATATATATATATATATATATATATATATATATATATTCGTATTGATTAAAAATGAAATTAATTTGACGGGTCGACGGGAGCAGACGCAATGGATACTCGGTACCTCTACGTTCTCCTCTACATCCGCTGCGGAAATGACGTGCACAGCGCAGGAAAGAATTCGGATAGGGCGTTTCTTACGGTCGCGGAAATTCGGAAATCCGTTCGCGCATCCGCCGCGAATCTTTCGCAGGAAGCTGCGAGATCCCGAGCGGAGATTACGAG